GAAAAAAATAATTTACTTTTAACATATTTATTTTCTTTACATAATTTTTGTAGGTGCTGGTCTTATCACAAAAGAGACCATGACGGACGGTTCATTAGACGGTATGAAAGCAAGTTTTGTTGTCTGTTTTGAGGATTTTGATTGTGTATGTGCCACATCTTTTTTCCCCAACTGTATACAATGAGAACTATCGTTTAGCTTGAGAAGACGTTGGTACTGTTAGCATCTTTCCCGTCGATAGGTTAAAACATGACCGACTGGTTAAATCTACCAGAACAGTTGGCATCTACACCTTAAGACATTTGCTGTGGGAGCGGATCGTCTATGGGTGTGTCCTGTGTGCTGTGATGTCGAATCTTAATTCAGTAATCAGTAAACTAATGTTAAGGGCCTGGTCTGTCCTGTCATGTTTTCATGAAGTATTTCCTCTTCCGAGGATAAGCTAGTGTCCTACCTAGAGCGATCTGTCCGAAGCCTATGGCACATGGTATGATATCAGGTTTCATATGTTCATCCCAACATTTGGCGTTAACAAAGATCAGGTAGTACCGACTACTGTTATACGGTAGCTCAGTCATATCTGACCAAGAAGGTGGAAAGCAATAGGTCTTCACTTACTTTACGGGGCTTCGGCTAATGAGGAGAGTGGGCAGGATCATTTTACTCTACTGTTATAAAATTATATATAGAATACTATCTAGAAGGTTTGGGAATAGAACATAAAGTATATGTCAGCTTTACAGAACCAAGCTACATTCAATGAAAAAAAAAGTAAAGGACCATTTTCCACGCTTTTAGGCGTATAGGGCATATAGGGCTAGACCTATATTTTATAGCCCAATCGGCACAAGACGGGTGATGTGGTCAGCATTACGCTGGCCGCCTCTACTTCTCAGGACTGCCCCCGTACCCACTCAAGGCTGGGTCGACATGGGAACCAAGGTCATTTTTGAAAAAAGTCGGGCTACCCCAGGGAGCGAGCCCACGACCTTCCGCCGCTCCGCCACGACGACTCCCCCTACATTCAATAGCTAAAAAAAAAAAAAAAAAAGACCTAAAGCATCTTCAATACTACTATATGCTATCAGTGCTAAACAGACAATGTTTAGTGTGTTAGAACAGAAAATTACCACATTTAAAATGCGATGTTTCCGTAAAACCAGAAACGGCACACGAAGGGACAGTGTTAGGAATACCAGCATTAGAAAGTTGGAATAAGACCATGTCTGGATGACATTGACAAACAAAGAATGAAATGGTTCGGCCATCTAGTGAGAATGAAAGACCAAACTGCATATAAGACTTTTTCAGCAGAGAATTTGAGAGGAAGGCGAGGGGAAGACCAAGAAACAGAGGGATAAATAGTGTAATTGAAACCTGCAAAAAGATGAACAAACCCACCACCCAAGGCACCTGAGAGGCGCAAGACAAATATAGAAAACCACAACACTAGGCTTGTATCAGTTATAGGAAAAAAGAGAGAAATAAGAAGTTACTGGATCAGTATCGACATAAATCTTTACTGGCTGTAATATATAGTGTTTCATAAATACAGCTACTTAAACATTTGTTAAATAAATCTGCAATAGAAATGTACTCTATTATTAACACTCTTTTTTTTTCAATTATGGTCTAAAATAATTATAACATTACTGGTAATATATTACGTGAACTGTACTATTGCTAATCCTGCTTCTTCTACCGCCATAAAACAGATAACCAAGCACTAAAGAAGAAATTGAAGAACGCAAGATGCTTGGTTGTTTTACTCACCTTGGCTGTTATCATTATTTTGGGAATCTTAATTGGTCTGCTTGCGCTGGTTTTCTTGCTGAAGAATTTCGGCGGTGAATCTGCGCTAAAACCATGTGGGGGTTTATCAGAAGGATTGACTGCTCATCAAGATATTTTGGGTAAACATCTCTCTCTCTCTCTCTCTCTCTCTCTCTCTCTCTCTCTCTCTCTCTCTCTGTGTGTGTGTGTGTGTGTGTGTATGTATGTATATATATATATATATATATATATATATATATATATATATATATATATATGTATGAGAAATATTTTAAAGATTAAATACATAGATGGTTAACTGAAACACGATATCTAATGCTACGTGTAATCTGGACAATTCCAATCTATTTCTCTCTTATATATGTATACACGAGGGAAAATCAATTAGTAAGGCACCAATGGTTGTTTATTTGGGGGAAGGAAGGGGTGGGGGGGGGGGGGGGGAGTCGTTAACAATTTGAAAAGCGTTTTTTTTAACTGTCCCTTTTTTTTCACAATAATTTCCATCAACAATGATGCACTTGTCTCATCGTTTTATAAGTCATCCCCAAACCTGCTGCACCAAGCTGCGTGCTCTGTTTTCTAAACCACATTTTCACTTTCCATGCAACTTCTGCGCCATTCGCGAAATGTCTCCCGCCAAGGTAAGGGGGTAAGGGCAGGGTAAGTACAGTCGCCATTTTGTTTATGTGTTGCGAATGCGCATCCAACACCTAGCTCCACCAAAGGAACCGGGATATAAAGTTCGATGTTGCAATTACCTAGTTCAACCTTTAAAACCACTTACTACATTTTCCTGCTATTCTATAACCATTTGTGACTTACTTATTGACTTTCCCTCGTGCATATATATATATATATATATATATATATATATATATATATATATATATATATATATATATATATATATATATATATTAAATATCTTTTTTTTAAACAGATAAGAGAAACAAGATTTCGTAAGAGCTAGAAGCGCAGTCAGAAAGTAATGCCCCACATTTCGTTTTCTTAGCGAAAAATTAAAATAGAAACAAGAAATTTTACACGCTTCAAATGACAATTCATTCCAAAAACAGCTGCATTAATCCGTTAAACAGAGGGCGAGGACAAACACCGAACTGCTGTAAAATAGATACTTGTTGAAACAGAAATTATGGGAGAGTATTTACAAATATTCGCGTGAAAGGTATGGAAGCTGTGCAGTCAATAGGAACACCGTTGGTCTCTGGGCTGACAGTCAGCAAATTAGTTAGAAATTACACAGAAACTGCAGAGATTCTGTTTATACAGAGGAGAGGCGAGAATACTATGAGCAAATAAAATGACACACCCAAGACCTCTTTAAAGTGATTAACTCACAAAGAGAACTGACTGATGAAAAAAAAATTGTCAGCATTATGTGGACAAGTTATGTGGAAAAGAAAAACAAAAACCAGAAGTAAATTAACACAACACAAATTATCATCATAGAGTCTGATGAATGGATAAGAAAATATACCATTAAATATAACCTAACTTTTCAATATTATTAACCAAAAAAAAAAAAAAAAAATTAGGAAGAAATAAGTCAATGCAACGAACGAGAACTTCATATAGACCAGCGGCTCTCAACCTGCGGGTCGCAGTCGCAACCATTTTTTGGGTCTAAGGATCCTTTCACAAGGGTTGCCTGAGTCCATCTGAAAACACATATTCATTGAAATTATGAAGGAAAATTATTGTTTGGGGGTCGCCACAACTTGAGGAAACTGTATTAAAGGTCGCGGCATTAAACAGCTGAGAGCCGCTGATATTTCTTTATCTATGGGCAAGAAGAAATATTGTGAAACAAAACATGAGCAAAGAAACGGAAAAATTAGGATTTAAAAAAAGCATATAGACCAATCGGCACTGGGTGAGTGATGTGGTCAGCATCACGCCAGTCGCCTTTACTTCCTAGGACTATACCAAGTACCCACTCAAGGCTGGATGGACATGAGAGCCAAGGTCATTTTCGAAAAACGTCCTCCGGTTTCATTAGGATAGGAAACCACGACATTTCGATCAGCAGGCGAGCGTCTAGCCGCTACACCACTATTTGAAGATATGCTGAACAGTGAGAGGATACCTGTTCTTGAGAGCATGCATTTTCCCTGTGGCTACATACGGATGTGAGTCGGGGACTATCTCCCAGTCCTTAAGAAAGAGAATAGGGGCTTTTGAGCTGAAATGCTATAGACTATATAAAGTATGTAGCGGATTAGGAATTCTGCTGGCCTGTGTTACTTCAGCTGAGATTGCAGACGCCATGGAGGCGATTTTCCAAGGAGAAAATAATGGAGGATAATGTATAATGGCCGGCGTCTGTGGCTTAGGCGTTGCGAACGCGCTTCATGATGCCGGGGTGACTGGTTCGATCCCAGCTGCGGGCATGTGCATTGCGTTAGTTTCGACAATGGTATCAAGAAGCCGACCGTCCGGAAAGCATTGGCAAACTACTGGACGTAAATTTGTCTAGAAAACCCACAACAGCCAAAAATCCTAGGGTTGGTTCTGCAACGTCCTGTAAAGGATACGCAATTATTCCAACAAAATCTATAATGCTTCTTCAGAATGGATGGGTCTTTCTAAAGACATTATTTGTTTTTCTCTGATGATATGATTTTTTTTTATTTGATTCAAGAACCAACTTCGCAGCACTCGGGGCATTCCCATAAGCGCCACGTCCCCATCTTCAACTGCCAGCGAAGAGTTCCGTCTTGCCTTTCCTCTGAGCCTCGAGCATCTGCCAGAACCTCTCGTCACACCCCCGCATCAATCTCACCAGACTGTGGTGATCCATCTGCTCCTCCTAACTGTACACGCTCTCCCACAAGGCACTAACCACACCTGCCTTATTATGCATCAGTATTCCACCAAGTTGTGCAGAGACAGCCAGTCTGTCCGCCTGTTCATTTCCCAACACACCGGTGAAAAAATCCAGACAATTCTCCTCACCCGTGTTCTCTGATGATGACAACCGCCAGCAAAACAAAATATAGGCTCAAAGTGATAGCTGCATAAAGCCATTAAAAATGGTTAGTACAGTCCGTAAAATTGTTTTTAGAACCAGTAGCAAAATACTTAGTGTCCATATATTAATTTGCAGTGCGATCTGATCATCTTCTGACACTGTAGGTGAACCTGATAACCCAGGACCATTCAATGAGCTGACAGTTGCAGAGATGAAACGAGTCCGTAAGTTTCTAGAAGCCGACATTGGTGTTGTGAAGCCAGAGGTAGCCAATCTGACTGACCCTCATATATTTACCATGGACTTAGAGGTATGGATATTTACTTAAACATTACTTACTCATCGTCGCCATCAGTTTCCACTTTTGCCGTAAAGCGTTGCGGGTGGAACAGTTTGCGATCTATTGCTTGATGGGCAGAATTGGCTGTTTTCATTTGATGTCGATGTAGACGCTGTTTAACGTCATTAACGTCATCAAGCCACATTCTTGTAGGGCGACCTCTTGCTTTCACTTCAGATCTTTTTTTGAGTATCTCCTGCACTGGTAGTTGTTCTGGCTGCATTCTTACTAGATGACCAAACGATTTTATTGACTGCTTATCAGTGAATCTGCTTCATGGTGTTGTTACTACAGTCTGTCTGATAATATCATTTCTAACTTTGTCTCGGATTGTTATGTTATCGGCTTTTCTTTGGCATTTCGTTTCACATGCGCAGATGTTACGTTTAATAATGGCATGTCTGACATTGGTATCACACAGTGTTAGTATGAATAAGCTGTTTCAATCTGTTTCGTGGCGCTCTACGTATGTTTGGATGTCTTAATAAGGGTGTCAGTTTGTGTATAACTGCCTTGGCTCGTTGGTATCTTGTTTCTCTTTTCCGATCTATTATCCCGTCCTTTGAGATTTTACTTTCTATAAATTAATTTTTTTGGTACTTGCTTTAGAAAAGTACCATTCAACCCAGTGTTTAGACGACTAGGAATTCTGCTGGCCTGCATTACTTCAGTTTTTGTAGTGTTTATTTTAATATCTTCTGCTAGTTGAATTTAGCCTGTCCAAATTTTCTTGCAGTATACTCCCCTCATTGTAGAACCGGCACTGATCGTCTGCAATTGGTAGTTCTTTATTGTGTGTGGATGTAATTCTTCATCCGCAAAGTTCCTCGTTTTCTGATTCTCTCGGTCGACTGCTTTAAAGCTGGCTTCATATTATTGCCAAGTTAGTTTAAAAAAAAAAAAAATTATTGGACATAAATATACAAAGTATTTAGAAGTGTAATATTGAAATCATAATTTAATTTTTCGTTAATTACTATTTACTCTTTTCAATTTATATATATATCCTCTTCATGTCGCTGTTGACACAAAAGGCAGTCACAAGTGATCTCCATTGCTGCCGGTCTGATGCTTTTCTGCCCATGGTATCACATGTTGATACTCTCGGTGACGACTATGCTAGCCCCTGGACTCAGGTACTCGCCCAACGTCCGGGCTGGCTCTGTACATGTGGAAAGAGCTTCACGGGGTTGCATGGTCTGAGAACGCATGCCGGAAGAATGAAATGCGAGGGTGCTCCACGCAGTAAACGCCGTCGCAAAACTACTACTCCTGTGGTAGTTTCTGAGTCGTCAGGGAACGACGGGCAGGGTGAACCCCACTCGCCCGGAGAGGCCCATGACGTCGACTGCGGAGGAGCACATTTGATGATTTCTGAGGAAGTGCGTTCAAAGATCAGGTTTCCACCTGCGAGCGATAAGGTGGTGTGGTGTAAGTTGGAGGCTACATTATGTGAGGTACTTAAACATGATTTAAACAAGAAGTCGCTAGGCGACAAGCTTACAAAATTTGGTGATGTAATATATGAACACTGCTCCCGTGAGTTCGGGACAGTAGAAAAGGCACAGCCGGGTGCCAAGCAGAATACTAGCAGGAGGCAGAGGGACATTCTGAAGTTTCGGGCAGACAAGAATGCCCCCAGAAAACGGTTCAAAGCCGCTACAGGCAGCGAACGGGAGGGGCTGTATGAAGTCTGGTTGCATTTAAAGAACAAACACAGTGCCCTCTGTCGCGCCGAGCGTTTCTGTAACAACAGACGTAGAACCAAAAGGGAGCGAGAGAAATTCTTTAGGGACCCGTATCAGTTTGCCCGAGGTCTATTCGAGCAACCGAAGTCTGGGACTCTGGTTGTCAGTCATGAAGAACTTGAGCTACATCTACGCAAGATGTACTCTGACAAAAAGAGGAGAGAGCCTCTTGATGACAATTCAGAGATCCTTAGCGGCCTCAAACAGCCTTAGGTGCCGAAGGTACCATTTAAAATGATACCTCCCCTTTGGTCTGAGGTTGAGGAAGTTGTGAAAAAGGCCAGCGGCAAGTCTGCCCCAGGTCCGAACGGTGTTCCGTACGTTCTTTACAAGCGTTGCCCGAAAATCCTAAAAATGCTTCACGTCTTGTTGAGACAAGCGTGGATCCGTAAACACATATGTCCAGAGTGGTCAAAGGCAAATGGGGTCTACATTCCCAAAGAGCAGGACTCGAAGAGTCTTTCCCAATTCAGGCCCATCTCGCTGTTGAATGTCGAGGGTAAGATATTCTTCTCGGTCATGGCTCGCCGGCTCACACAGTATCTGATGACTAACAAGTACATAGATACGAGTGTTCTGAAGGGTGGTATTCCAGGCGTTCCTGGGTGCCTTGAACACGCGACCATGATTTGGGAGGCTATCCAGAGAGCCAAGCATGAGAGAACACAATTGCACGTAATATGGTTGGACTTAGCCAACGCCTACGGGGCAGTCCCCCATAGGCTACTGTGGCGAGCCCTTCGCATGTTTCACGTACCGGCACAGATCAGTCAAATGATCGAGCAATATTTCTCCAAGTTCGCTTTGCGCTTCTCTACCTCGACGTTTAACACGAGGTGGACTGAGTTGCAGATTGGGATAGCTATGGGCTGTACGATCTCACCCATACTGTTTGTCATGACAATGCAGATCATGTTAGACGGGGCGGCCGGCTACGGACTGTGCCTTCAAATAGGGGATCACTGGTTGCCGCCACTTCGCGCATTTATGGATGACACGACTATAATAACGGGCAGAGAGGAGTCTGCCCGCACGATCCTGAAAAGATTGGACGCGGTGGTCCAATGGAGCGGTATGCAGTTCAAACCGCAGAAGTCGAGGAGTCTGTCAATCCTTAAGGGCAGGGTGTCGGCAACCAGTTTTACGGTGGCAAGGAACAAGATCCCTACGGTTCTGGATGAACCGATGAAGAGTCTCGGTCGCGTTTACGATTCGAAGTTATCTGATAGAGCGGAAGTCCGGCGAATACACGAGTCACTGGCTACAGACCTGCTCGCGATCGAGCGTTGCAGGCTGGTCGGGAAATTCAAGGTATGGTGTCTCCAATTCATGTTGATTCCGAAACTCCTATGGCCACTGTTAGTCTACGAGGTGACGATGACTGCAGTGGATACAATGGAGAAGAAAATCATCACAGCCTTAAAAAAGTGGATTGGAGCACCGCCTTGTCTGACCGACGTGGCTCTGTATTGCAAGCAGGCTAAGCTGGTACTTCCGTTCAAATCGATAACCGAAGAGTTTAAAGTCGGCAAGGTAAGGCTCGCCATGCTCTTGCGCGAGTCTTCAGACCCAAATGTCATCGCTGTCCAGCCCGCTCTAAAGACTGGGCAGAAGTGGAGGGTCCTCGATGCGATAGAATCTGCCCAGAATGCACTAAAATTGAAGGAGATAATGGGATACACTCAAACAGACCGTCGAGGCCTAGGGCACGGGAAGGTCAATTGGTGGTCAAAGGCCTCAGCCAAAGAGCGCCGAGACATGGTAATACAAACGGTGAGGGACAACGAAAACGAGGTTCGGGTCCAGAAAGCAGCCCAGCAGTCGCAGCAGGGCCATTGGGTCAGCCTGGAGAGCGCATTGCCAAGAGTACTCACATGGGGTGAGATCTGGCGGATGAACCCGCTGCGACTGAGCTTTATCGTTCGTTCGGCGTACGATGTATTACCGTCCGGTGTTAACATGGTTAAATGGTCTGCGACCAACGATCCGACTTGCCCGTTGTGTAAATCGAAGCAAACTCTTGAGCACGTCCTGTCCGCGTGCAGGAAAGCCCTAGGTCAAGGCCGATATACCTGGCGACACAACAAGGTGCTAAAAGAGTTAGCAGCCGTTGTTGACCAGGCTAGAATGAGGGCTAACGCCAGAGCCAGTTCTAGTATCGTCCCCATTCGTTTCCTCAAGGCTGGGCAGGTTCCAAAAGGTAAGGTGAACCAAAACGCATTCGCTTCATAGACTCTGCGAGGGACTGGTTACTGGCGGTTGATCTGCCGGGCCATGAAAGGTACCCCGAGTTGATCCATAAAACCGGCCTGCGACCGGACATAGTTCTCCATTCTGTGCAAAAACGGCAGCTCATCCTGATTGAGCTGACTGTCCCATATGAGTCGCGTATGGAGGAGAATCACATGTATAAGCTCGAGAAATACAGTGATTTAGCAGCCGGTCTGAGGAGAAACGAGGCGTACACAGTACGGGTCTTTGCCGTCGAAGTGGGAGCGAGAGGCCTCGTTTCCACTTTGCTCTACAATGTGGTTAAAGAACTAGGATTGCGCGGTAATGAACGGAAACGAACACTCAAAAAACTGGGAGAGGTAGCCGAAAGGGCCTCTAGCTGGCTTTGGACGCAACGCAACAACGTAGGGGATGGGCCTCGGTGAGCTGGTCCGGGTGTCTAGTGGAAAAGGGTTTCTCACCCCTTGAAAGTCCATCGTGTCCGAATTGTCTGCCAGTGATCCTCTGCCACCTGCTAATAAAAGTCCAACATGTGTCCGGTAAACCAATCGTAAGCTTGTCGCTCGGTCGTCCAGGCACGCTGACTGCTTTAATTAGGCTGCCGCGGCGATTTCTTATCTCACAGTACCTTCTGCAAAACCACCAAGTCGTCTTGTCTCTGGCCGAAAGAAAAACACCATCCGGTAATCTCGTGCAGCAGGGAACCAGCCCTGAGCTTCATGAACTCAGGTGGGCCCACCTCCGAATGCGTCTAGGAATCGTGGGCCGAAACGCGTGTCGACGAGGATAATTTCTACTGATGACTGGTAGATCCCTGCTGTACTTGCTCCCTGTGAGTTTATTCCTATTGTCAGTTTACATTCCTTCATTTCTCGTTCTATTGTCCTTCTCCATGTTTCCTTAGGTCGTCCACGTCTCCTTTTCTCATCTGCTGTCCACCGGAGAGCCGTTTTTGCCACAAGGCATTCTGCAATCATTTCCAAGTCGTCTCCATCGTCTTACTTTGATAACATTTGTCAGTGTTGCACATTCTGTTTTCCTCCTCAGTTCTTCATTTCAATTTAAAAGCAATAATAATCTTTACAAAGGTATTAGTATTTGAACCTTGTTAGTTTTTAGCTGATTATTATTTACAATTTTCATATAAAAATATCTATGTCATTTACTATGGACTTAGGGGCATGAATATTCGAATCTTTTTAGTTCTTAGTTGACTGTAATTAACTTTTTTTTTGTATAAAAAATATATTTGCCAGTTGCTATAGACTTAGAGGTATAGGCATGTGAATCTTTCAAGTTTGTAATATTTCCTCGGGAATTGTGGTAGCATAGTGGGTAGACCATCATCTGCCGGCGTAAAGGTCTTTGATTCAAATCTCCATTTAAAAAAAACAAAAAAAAACCTTGGCACCCAGGTCTACCCAGTCTTAGATTGGTAGCAGGTAACATCCTGAAAGGAACGGCGGTGGGCTTCATATTGCCCGCGTCACTCATCGAGTTATGATTGTTTTACACATGGTTAGTTGCGTATCCTCTACAGGATGTTGCAGAACCAACCCCAACAGCCCCTGGCTGTTGTGTGTTTTTTCTAGGCAAATTTACGCCTAGTAGTTTGCCATTGCTTCTGGACAATCGGCTTTCTTGACACCACTGTCGAAACCAACGCAAGGAGGCGCATGGCCCGAGGTGAGATCGAACCCGGAACCCTGGCATTACGAAGCATTCGCATCGACTTAGCCACAGAGCCGACTGTTTTACGTATGAAAGCGTTAGCAACATGCACTGGATGCGCCAATAGTGTGATAAGAAGGATCTTCATCTTCTTTACTTAACATAACATCTGCTTCGCGCTCTGAAGGTCACGGGTCCCTTTCACGGCATCTCGTTCGGTTCATAAGTGCTATTTTTAAGGCGATCCCTGGAGAGTGCCACTGGAGCTACATAGTTCTTTCTTTGTACAACACTTTCGGCAGACGACTACACATTTTACTGAGAGAGAGAGAGACCAAGCTATGGATCTAAAACCCGGCGCTATGAGGTAAATCTTTTTTGATTTAGCCATAACTTTCTTAACTCAACAGTTAACCGTATACGTGTGGTTTCTCTAGCTTCCAAAGAAAGCTGATGTGCTGGCGTATTTGGACCATAATGCATCTGCTCCACACCGTAAAGCTCGAATCATTGTCTTCCGTGGCGATTTAGAGCCTCCAGTCGTTGAAGGTAAAGAATGCGTGCACTTGCGCATAAAGATATGAATGCACATTCTCACATCTCATACAAAATTACAAATATGTAGCTAAGAACCACGAATGGAAATCAAAGTTCAACGTAAAAATGTTGAGTGAATGCGTCTTTCCTGTGTAAGTAGTGGACTATCTCGCAGGTATTAAGTAAGCAATGTGGGCTTTTGAGCTTATCGAGAGATTCTCAAAATACAATGGACCAAGGAAAAAAAAAAAAAAATTACTGACATTCTGAAAGATCTAAACATCAAAGAAGATTGGCTAGTAAACAGCATCTTGTCTCAGAAACTGAACTATTTTGTCCACGCAAAGCGCCACTATGGTTTGAAAAGAATAGTAGCAGAGGGCGTGGTTCCATGACAGAGGGACATGAACCGGCCAACACGAACGGATATGGGCACATGATATCAGAGACACCCTGGGTAAGAAAGTGCACAAGGTAGGAGAACTGGCGAGAGACCGAGTTTTTTTCAAGTGGGCAGTGATGAGAGCGACATTATGTAAAGCACCAGCTACGATGATGATGATGATCACATAATCATCCTAATAATCACTCATCATCGTCACCATCAAGTGGCTTGCTGACTGGCGTGGACGATCCTACTTCCCTAAATCTTACGACCTCAGTCAACATGTATCAGTATTTTGTGCATACACTCTTTCTTGCATTGAAGTATGGCTACTAAGATCTTCTTTCTTTGGCTTCTTCTATCTTTCATTCTGATAACTTATTTCAGCTGTGAAAGGAATTGTAAGCATTTTGCTATAAAACTTCTGGTCCGCATACAAGCAGGGAGCTCCCGTGGTGTAGCAGCTTGACGCTAGCCTGCGGATCCCAGGGTCACAGGTTCGGATCCTGACGGTAACGGACTCATTTTTTAAAAATGACCTTGGCTTCCAGGTCGGCACAGTCTCAAATGGGTATCAGGTGGAGTCGTGGAAAGTAAAGGCGACCGAAGTGATGCTGATCACATTACCCACCAAGTCCTGATTTGTCTTTTAAACACAGGTCTAGCCCTATATGCCCAGTACACCTGAAGACGTAGAAAGGGTCTTTTACTGTACCTATGACTTTTACGAGCGCATAGGGCACTCTATGCTTAAGATGCGATATCTGTTGAATATGGCAAACATTCGTTAAATCTCTAATCTGTAATACGGATGTTGATAATACCTTCGAAAACCACATAAAATACCCATCGCTCACATATGTGAAAAGACAGTCAGCAGTGCGGCAAAATCCAACATTTTGTACCCGCATAAAAAGCATAAGGCAGCCGAGGAGGTGTCAACACTTAAAGTCTGTCACTAAATTTGCTATTCATAGTTGGCGAAAGGAGCAGTCACGACAAACCGGCAATCGCATACACGTTAATGCATAAGGAGTACAAAGAATAAACACCCCCCCCCCACGTGACTTTGACAGTTCACACTGTTGTGTCATGTAATAAAAGCAGTAGCTAACCGGACGGAACCGTATATGTCTTCGTCTCGTTTTTGGACTCATCCAGTTTCCCGCTGAGGGTTTGAAACAGCAACTTTCACTGGAACTGGATTACTGGGGGGGGGGGGGGGGGGGGGGTTAGGGAGTGGGATTCACCATGTAAAGGTGAGGTAGACTTGGACAAGAAAGGCTAAGAGACATTGAGTGTCTTGTGTTGTTAATCACTGCTCCCAGAGGACCCCTTAGTTATTTTTTTATATTTTCTTTTATGGACAATGAAAGAATATTCCTAAAGGCTTCGCAAAATATAGTGAAAAATAATTTGAACAAATAAGACACAAACAACAGATTGCACAATTTACTGCTTGGCACATTTCGCTTTATCTAAGCAAGTGCATACAACAGTAATAATTGGTTTAAACGATGCAAATAAATGATTCCTTCCAACTGAAACACCGAATCGACTTTAAATGTAATATGCACCAGAGGAGATACAATGAAATATGCCAGGCAACAAAATGTACAATCTACTGTTTGTGTTTTCTTAGTTCAAATTCACAAAGGCGAAACTGCTTCGAATTTCAGAAATCTAATTGCCTACACAAATAGGCCAGACACTTTGGTGATGATAACAAATATTATGTTCTACGCAAACGTATCAAATATTGTTAAACTTGTCAACTATAAGTTCGATGTATCCTGCCCATTCAGAGCGCCTGTGTGGACCTCTGGATAACATCATATCCTGCCCCGTGGATGTGACCGTGCCATTTTCTCAACGACCTGTGGAGAATAGAGAATACGAAATATACGAAAGGAGTATTATGAAAAAGATCCACGCTACCTTTGAACACGTTTTGCGCGAAAGCTATGGTGGTTCTTTTGACTAGTAAGTTTGTTTTTAAAATACAGATTCCGATAACGCATTATATACAGTTAATTATCTAACCTTTCTTAGCCAAGTAGATAGAATCTTAAATCACTCAGTAATTGTATTACTATAACTATACATTTTGCCATGTCTGTAATTGTATAACTATACATTTTGTCTTGTCTGTATTTGTATTACTATAATTATACATTTTGTCATGTCTGTAATTGTATTACTATAACTATACATTTTGCCATGTCTGTATTGGATTACTATAACTATACATTTTGCCATGTCTTTAATTGTATTACTATAACTATACATTTTGCCACGTCTGTAATTGTATTACTATAACTATACATTTTGCCATGTCTGCAATTGTATTACTATACCTTTGCATTTTGTCATGTCTGTAATTGTATTACTATAACTATACATTTTGTCATGTCTGTAATTGTATTACTATAACTATACATTTTGTCATGTCTGTAATTGTATTACTATAACTATACATTTTGTCATGTCTGTAATTGTATTACTATAAATATACATTTTGTCATGTCTGTAATTGTATTACTATAACTATACATTTTGTCATGTCTGTAATTGTATTACTATAACTATACATTTTGCCATGTCTGTAATTGTATTACTAAAACTATACATTTTGCCATGTCTGTAATTGTATTACTATACCTATGCATTTTGTCATGTCTGTAATTGTATTACTATACCTATACATTTTGTTATGTCTGTAATTGTATTACTATAACTATAGATTTTGTCATGTCTCTAATTAAGCTGTCGACGTATAGGGCTTAGGCATAGCAAATGCGCTTCGTAATGCTGGGATGCCGGGTTTGATCCCAGCTGCAAGTGATCTGACAGCAAAGCCTCTTGTGTTAGTTTCCACAATAGTGGCAATGGCAAACTACCAAAAAATGCTGGAACTGATTCTGTAACGTCCTGACAAGGAGGAGCTGAAACAATAAAAAAAAAAATTATAAGTTGCAACAAACTGCTTGACTCTTGTATAACTCTAGATAGGTCCTTTGCTGGGGGGAGGGGGTGGGGGGGGGGGGAGAAACAATTCTTACGTTCAACCAGCACCCCCAACGGAGGAGCATTAGGTTACAGTTGTGTGAATTATATAAAATAGCTTAGCATTGCACGCCACCTGAAAAGGATTTCTGCGGTGTTGATGCGATCAGAGGCGACAGACTCAAATATGTTCCTGACCGGCGATGAAATTGTCTGCTGGCGAGCCAGTGGGAGAATTGGTGGTGAATTGATATAGGACAAGCTAGATATTGTGAGGGCCCTTTGGGAAAGAGTGAACAGTGCGGAGGCACAGATAGATTATTACGGTCTGAGGAGAATGGCGCTGCAAAGAGTTACCAGGGCATCTGGCCGACGCTCAACACTGAGGGAAAGGATGAGACGGATATACAATCAGGTTACTGGTGCCATTGGAATTGGAACTCTTCGCCTGCTGCTGAGGATAGGAACGGAGCACTTGTGGAAGTGTTCCGAGGGTTGTGATGTCGATTCTTAATTCAACATTTAGTCAACATTCCCAGAGGACGTCGCCGCAGAAGACCAAGTGGGGAATTAGTTTCATTGAGAAACTATCAGCATATGCTTTGTAACTCTTTCAGCCACATACAATATCAGGAGTTCATTGGTTTTTGAAAAAAGAAACGTTAAGTTAAAAAAAGTTTTGAAAATTTATCATATCTGACATCTGCCAGAAAAGCTTATAATAATCATTTTGATAAAATATATTATTGCCAGAACTAGTCAGTGGGTGACCTGGTCGCAAATGGAAAAGGAATAAAAGCACCACTTTTTATATGGCTTCGAAAACATGACTACCGAGGTTTGAAGGAAGAGGTGAAGAGGAAGGGCGGGGGGTCTTCGTAGCGAAAAAAAAAATCAAGCCATTGTCGTCACGCTCTCTAGAGAGTGGGTTTGTTTCACTACTGTGTCGTTCTGTTCACAAGTGCAATACTTACTGAGATCCCCAGGGGCTGTCGCTGTAGCTAGAGAGTTTGTGCTTTTGCGTGACCCTCTCGGCAGGCCGTTCTGTGAATAGAGACAGAGCTACGTGGAATAAAACCCGGTACAATAAAGTCGATCGTCTCTCTTTTAGCCTTAAACATTTGCCACCGAGCCGGTAGTTAAGTGTGCTAGCCACCCGACCATAGAAAAAAAATATTTTGTAATTTCAGCGAAACGTGTGAAAACGACTGTCTGAACTATTACAATTTCCCAGTGGGATCTAGGAGATACACTACCGAGGAGAAACGTCAGATGTGGATTTTGCCTCTGTACGATCTTCCATACCAAAGTTTGCACCCTCTAGACTTTGGAGTGCTCTGTACCGTTGATGGAGTTGACGAGAACACATTTGACCTGATGAAAGTTTGGTACGCAGGTAAAAGTTGAAAAGCAAATGTTTTTGTGTAATTACGAATATACTTTCATTCATTTATTTTCTTGTTGTGCCATAGTATGTCACATAGGGCTCGCAGTCTATCCCTCCTTCCAATCTATCCTGAGCAATCAATTCACTATCACTGATGGAATCCAGTTCAGTTGCTTTGGCCTCTTTCATCAACGTGCATCTGAGGGTTTCTTTTGGGCGTCCCCCCTCTCTCCTTAATCCCTTTATTTCCATTTCAATGCCTGTTTGGTGATTCTCTACTGGTTTCATCTCAGGAAGGATGTATCAAATGTAACGCCATCCTCTTTGTCTTATTAATGTTGATACAGTTACAACCTGAGCCTTCGTAGACTGAGCATTGAAAAAAACTTACAATATCTGTTCTTTCCAACACCTCAGTGTGTGTGGTTGTTTTTCCACTTACTGCAAAGTATTCTTTGGTCTTGTTTTTCCACTTACTGCCAAATATTCTTCTTAGGCCTGACATATGAAAGCTATTTAGCCGTTTCTCGTGGTGCGAATAAGCTAAGTTTCACTGCCATAGAGAAGAGTGCTGAGAAGGCAAGTCTGATAGACAAGACTTTTTGTTTTGATTGTGAGCTTCTGTTCTCCCAAACTCTTTTTGTGTGTGTTAAATCTGAATGTTGTTGTTGTTGCTATCTTACCTATTCTAATGTTGATTTCTTGGTCTAGCGATAGTTTGTTATTCGTGGCTCCAGTATTTCTGTCCCTACGAAATATTACGATTAGCGAGTGCGCCCCGCACCCCGTGTATTCAGATCCTGAAGTAAATCAGTACTTTAACGCTGGTATTATGAACAAAACCATTACCTGACTACAGGTTACAATAGAGTAATACTTGCAGTAGCCGTAACATCATGGAGATTGAACCGAGTGCCTTGCTGGATTGGTATCCAGGATGGGCTATGAGTAGCAAGCATTTCAAACCTTCAGTCAGTGGAACACTCAGTCACTATAAAAAGTTCGTTCAACAATAGATAAACACACATGCAAGCAATTTTCTGGAAAACTGCCTGTTATATCGCAATGATTTTTTGCATCAGCCTTAGAATATCCATGACTTTAAGGAAATTTTTTTTTTCACTAAAGAAGAATATCATATGTAGTTGTTTTTTTCCTTCTTTACGATACATATTTTTATCATGAAACCGTCTTTGTAGACTTTTGGAAGGCTTAGATTCATTAGTGACTTGTGACAGTTATGATCCGCTCAAAATTTGTGGCAACCCTATTTCAAAACTCCGCTACGCAGATGACATAGTCCTCCTTTCGAACAGCGGAAAGGGAATAGAAAATTTAATATTGTCTGTCCAAAAGCACAGTGAAGATCAAAATCTGTGCTTGAATTTAAAGAAAACGAAAATAATGTCCACAGATAAAACTGGCTGTCCCCCAAAAATAACATTAAATGATAAAGAAATTGAAAATGTCACAAACTTTGAATATCTCGGCTCTATAATAAACAATAATGGAGACTGTTCGACAGAAATTAAAAAGAGGATGGCTATAGCAATGCAAAGATTGAACAGCCTTAAGTCTATGGTTAAGCACCAGTATGGAGATAAAAATTAGAATTTTGAGAGCATGTATCTTCCCTGTGGCTAAATACGGATGTGAGTCGTGGACTGTCTCTCGGTTCTTAAGAAAGAGAATATGGGCTTTTGAGCTGAAATGCTATAGAAGGATTCTCAGAATATCTTGTACAAAGAAGATGAGAAATATTGACATCTTAAAAGATCTGAACATCAAGGAAGATTGGCTAATAAACAGCATCCTTTCTCGAAAACTGAAATATTTTGGTCATATCAAGCGCCACGACTGATTGGAAAAAATTATAGCAGAAGGCATGGTACCAGGAAGGAGGGGCAGGGGCCGACCGACACGAAGAAGGGCACAGGATATAAGTGACTCCTTGAGTGTGAAAGTGCATGAGACGGGAGAACTGGCGAGAGACCGAGTTTCTTTCAGGCAAACCGTGATAAAAGCGACGTTCTGCAAAGGACCTGCTACATGATGATGAGTTTCATTAGATTCAGGAATTAATGCACACTATGACTGGTTTAACAGGAGGTCAAAGGAAACCTACGCAATTTCATGATTTACTGGTGCAAAGTTGCACTCTTAGTTACCTCGCGCAAAAAAAAAAAAAAAAAAAAAACAGGTTGTTTAGTCAAAGGCACATCCACAAATTAGTGTTGAGTTATTGTATTATATAGCAAGCTTTTAAAAGCTGACATCGACATCAATTTCAAAATGAATTATAACTATGCAAAGGGTCACCGTTTTACTGTACCAGCACTTTCTCAGATAATCTATGATGGGTCATTTATGTTGTGATATTCATGACCCAGAGGAAAGAACGAAGAGACTAAAAATGCTACAGATTTTGAATATTTAGGCTCAGTAATGAACGCGAACGACGACTGCCCAAAAGAAGTCATACAAAGACCAGCTTTAGCCGTCCAGAGGTTAAACAGTACGAAGAACCTCTGGCATAGCACCTGCAAGCAAGTCAAGGTAAACATTTTGAAATCATGAATATTCATGCGGCATCTTATGGATGTGAGTCATGGACTTTCATTCTGTCTTTCAAGAAAAAATGGAAGCTTTTTAACTGATATACTACAGAAAAAAGTCTGAGAATACCGTGGACCAGGAAGCAGAAACACGTCGACATCTTGCATTACATGAACATCAAGGAGAGCTGGTTAGTAAACAGCATCTTCTCCCAAATTTTGGCCAACAGTGCTTTGGAGAGAACGCTGATGGAGGATGCTGTTTCCGGGAAAACGAGGCAGAGGCCGACCTCCGCGAACTGGATACAGGATTTTGAAGATGAATTAGCTATGAAAGCACACAGGGCTGGAGAATTGGCTAGAGAAAAATAGACTTTCAGGCGTGCCGTGAAGAGGGCGATGTTGTGTAAAAAACATGCTGATTGACTGATTGAGTGATTGAGGAAAGAGCAAGCATCATAACAGTACTCTCAAAGCTCAGTCTTCGAAAGCTCAGATGGCTGTCACACTATAAGAATGGAGGATGGTAGAATCCTTAAAGACGTCCTTAATATCGAAATACAGATGGGTAGACACGGTGCGATGAAAGCTGAGATGCATATACTTTCAGCTAGGAAAATCGACAGATTTGTCACCTGGAATGTTAGAATTTTGTACGATATGAGTAGGACAGTTAGGTTAGGTTAGTTGCGTATCCTTTACAGTACGTTGCAGAACCAACCCCAGCAGCCCCTGGCTGTTGTCTGGTTTCTCTAGGCAAATTTACGTCTAGTAGTTTGCCATTGCTTCCTGGACGGTCGGCACCCTGATACCACTGTCAAAAGCAACGCAAGGCGCATGGCCCGCAGCTGGGATCGAACCCGGCATCCCGACATTACGAAGCGTTCACATCGACTTAGCCACAGAGCCGACAGGACAGTAAGGATAGTAAAAGAATTAGTATTTTATGATTATAGTGATTAGTGATTAGAAAGGATTATCATCACAACATTCGGAACAGATCCATAGGTGGTCTGATCTCCTCCTCAAAAGCTATACAAGTGTAGAACGACTGATGACGCCTGTTCTGTGTTGGTTAATGAAACGTCTTGTCCTCTTAGTACTTTTATGATTATGCGAAACTGTATGAACTGGGGAGGAAAAGAATATAAAAAATTCGAAGGTAGCTGTTTTGATCTCAGATCACCTATAGAAAAATTATCCTCTCTGTCAAGAAGTGGTCCTCTAGTTATCGGAAAGGCAGAGATAGAATGAGAAACAGCGAGTCCTAAAAGGGTTGTTTAGAGGAACCAGAAAGAAAGCGACAGCTAGAATATTTGTCTATACATCTTCTTTTCTAAGGTCTCAGTTCACATTTTTAATTGCTTGTTTAATTTCAAAGTTTCTGTGCGAGACAGTTAAGTGTTAAATACACCTAGCATTTGGTGATTATAAATTGTAATGTATTATTTTTCTTTATTATTAAACATATCTGCATATAGGGGAAAATATGTTTGACTCTTTTTTATACCTATTTAACTTCTGCCGTTATACAAATAACATTATAAGAGGGAAAACGAATTGTGATTATCTTCTATTAGTAAAGTTGAAAAACAAAGGGGCCTTCATTGATTCTTTCATTCTGATGTGCGCAGGTGCTCTCTATAATGACATTCAAGAATTTCTGACCCTATACAATAATGGAACCATTAAAAAGACCCAGATGAAGTACCCCACAAAGCAGGAGGCCTTGTTTTCCACACTGAAACAGAGAGGATCGCCCAAACCAGCCCAGCCACGCAGACCGCCAGAGCTGATTGAGCCTGATGGAAAACGTTACACGATCCGCCACAGAAAGGTACTTAACATTTAGAGCAGTGGTCTTCTAGCGGGGGGGGGGGTGCTTATGGGGGGGGGGGGAACCCTGGGGGACGGGGCGTCAGGAAGTTTCATGGACGCATCAAGCAATTTTGAAATTGGTCCATTTGTACTCGTAAATGTAACAATTCGGATGTTCGACTTTTAACGGCAATGAACATTAAACAGCATTCCCAGCCGAATGTTGAGAGTGATCTCCCTTGTGCCTTGTTCCACAGCAGACCAAAAATAGCAGATATCATCATCACACACACACACAAAAGAAAAGATTGGTAACTGGACATTAAATTACCAGTTGTTAGTGATATCTTTCTTCAAGTTGTTGTTTGCATGGGATTTTTCGTTTTGACCTTTTTAAAAAAATCATTTTTAATGGGATGGGGGTGGGGTGGGTGTGTGTGTGGGGGGGGGGGGAGGGGGGGGGGGGGGCTTGATGATCCTTTTAATATCGAAGGAGGCGCCACCTGAGAAAAAAAAAAAGGGCTGAGATGACTGACTTAGAGTGTATTCATCACATCTTAGAAATTGACTGGACACTTACAGTATTCATCAAATCTTAGAAATCTACTGGACTCTTAGATTGTATTCATCACATCTTAGAAATTTACTTGACACTTGGGGTGTATTCATCACATCTTAGAAATTGACTGGACACTTACAGTATATTCATCACATCTTAGAAATTTACTGGACTTTTAGATTGTATTCATCACATCTTAGAAATTTACTGGACTTTTAGATTGTATTTATCACATTTTAGAAATTTACTGGACTTCTAGATTGTATTCATCACATTTTAGAAATTTACTGGATTTTTAGATTGTATTCATCACATCTTAGAAATTTACTGGACTTTTAGATTGTATTCATCACATCTTAGAAATTTACTGGACTTTTAGATTGTATTCATCACATTTTAGAAATTTACTGGACTTTTAGATTGTATTCATCACATCTTAGAAATTTACTGGACTCTTAGATTGTATTCATCACATTTTAGAAATTTACTGGACTTTTAGATTGTATTCATCACATCTTAGAAATTTACTTGACACTTGGGGTGTATTCATCACATCTTAGAAATTTACTGGACTCTTAGATTGTATTCATCACATCTTAGAAATTTACTTGACACTTGGGGTGTATTCATCACATCTTAAAAATTTACTTGACACTTGGGTTTTTTTCATCACATCTGACAAATTTACTGGACTTTTAGATTGTATTCATCACATCTTAGAAATTTACTTGACACTTGGGATGTATTCATCACATCTTAAAAATTTACTTGACACTTGGGTTTTTTTCATCACATCTGACAAATTTACTGGACTTTTAGATTGTATTCATCACATCTTAGAAATTTACTTGACACTTGGGATGTATTCATCACATCTTAGAAATTTACGTGACACTTGCGGTGTATTTATCACATCTCAGAGAGTACTTGACACTTCATCACATCAAACGGGGTATTTGCCACTTAGAGCTTATTCATCACAATCTGAATGTGTTAGCTGTGTCTGAATAATTAGGGCATAATATTATTTACACAATTATGTAAAGTGACCATGTGTAAACACTGCAATAAAAAACACCGATTTTTGAAAATAACTTTGCATTTTGACAAAGAAAAGCACAAACAATAGCTTGTACAATTTACTGGCCGGCATATTTCGCTGTATCTCGCCAGGTGCACACCACAGTAACAATTGATTAAAATGAAGGAAATAAATGAATCCTTCGAACTGAAACACAAAATCCACTGCATTCATAAACTTTTTCACCTGGGCAAACGCAAAGTAAAGACTATATTTAAGCTTAATTTTAATAATTTGCTACTGTAATATGTGCCTGACGAGATGTTGCTTGTGTCTTCTTTGTTCAAATTCGGCGGCGTCCGTGGCTTTGGCGTTGCCAGTCCGACTCGTAATTCCAACTTACCGCGATCGAAACCCACTGCTGGCAGCGTGGATTTTGTCAAGGTATGAGGCGTCGCAGGTCGACCCACCCTAAAATGGGTACCAGGAGGGCTGTCCTGGGGAAGTAAAGACGGCCGGCGTAATGCTGACCCCATTACCCACCTTGTGCCGATGGTCTAAAAAAATTTAGGCGCTCTTCGCATAAACCCGATTCGCCTAAAGGCGTGAAAAGGGATCTTTACTTTCTTTAAATTCACAACAGGGAAACGGGAATTTTCTTAAACTACGAATTTCTTAGTAACATTTAAAATCCAAAATCTGGACTTTCTTCATCAGTGACTCTGAGAAATGTTAAAACGATTCACTTTTGTTTGTCTCCACCGAGAAGATAAAAAAAAAAAATAATGTGGGTTCTGTCTCCACAAAGGAGGATGAAGGCAGTTGAACATGTGCATCCACAGGAAACACTCGATATGTGCATGAATTGCTTGCTGTCTTTGAAAATACTACCTGGTTAAGTCCACAAATCTCTATCATGGCGCCATTCTCCCGCTGCTGTCTAAAACAGCTGTCTCCAACAATGGCCAAATCTAGATATAAATAAATATAATAAATAAAAATAGCCTGAAGATGGGCGTGCTCCAACCTACAGAGCGGTGAGGAAGTTGCAAGGGGGCATCAAACAATTTTGAAATTGAATGTATTCGTACTGTTAATAATAAGGATGTCAGCTTTCAATGTATATGAAGGAGGTGTCATGGACCCTAAGTGTTTTAATACACACACACAAAATAATTTGCTGATTAGCAAATACATATAGTAATGTATGTGAAAGAAAAAAAAAGTGCATTAAAAATACTTAAAAAGAGAACTTCCGTACATGGTTTAGGAGTTGGGGTAGGAATGGGGAAAGAGGGGGGGGGGGGGGGGGATTTTTCCCTTTAAACATTTTCCATGGGACCCCCCCCCCCCTCCCATTACCCCCAAATATTGAGGAATGTGGGGAGGGGGGGGAGAGGCGGAGGGGTTTAAGACTCCAAAGGCTCTAGCCTCCAGATTCCGACACCCATGAATTTATCAATTTATGACGAGTTTAGTTCTAGTTTAGTGTCATTAATTTTTATCCGCAGGTAGAATATCTTGACATGTGGTCATTCAACTTCCGAATGTCCACCATATTTGGTCCAGGCATTTATGATGTCCGCTTTTTGGGAGAAAGAATAGCATACGAGATCAATCTGGGGGAAATTGTGGTATTCTATTCTGGTTACAACCCTATGCAGGTCAGTAAAACAATTATAGTTTATGCCGTGGAAGAAAATATTGTCTGTTCTGCCTGTATGTGCCACTTTTTGTCTATATTTGGAGTTTTTAGGACACGTGGCTAGTCTCATACCACAAGGAGCTGCTTTGGGAGCAGTTAGGTAGGTGCTTTGCTGGAAAAAAAATATTGTAAGGACAATCAGCATCTCTGAAGGGGGAGCTTCAGGTTATGATTGTGACTCGGTTGTGGGCGGCATATAAGATTGTTTAGCACTGCACGTCCCCAAAAGCCCTGAAAAGGACTTCTGCGGTGTTGATGTGAATAAAGAAGACAGACCCAAATACTTTCCCGACCAGCGACGAAGTAGTCTGACGGTGAGCCAACGGGCGATCCAGTCGCTGATGTGAGCAGGGAGCAGTTAAGAACGATGGTCTGGTATATGAGATACCCAGGTTCAAGTCATGACGTCTAGTTAAGAATAGTTTATTATTTTCTAGAACTATCGGGCGTCACAACAGTGTATTGACTGATTTGCAATGTGGAGATCCACGGCTTGCTTGACATTACAGCTTATTGTTTCTATGTCTAAAATATCTAGTTCAGCATCACACTATTTACTGCTGCTTTATTATTAGTTGCCACCGAATATTACATGTTTTTTTTAAATCCTTTTATCCCATCTAGTTATGGCAATAGTAAATTTTATCAAAAAGATTATTATAAACTTTTCCGGCAGCTGTCGGATATGATAAATTTTAAAAACTCTTTTCAACTCAACATTTCTTCTTTAAGAAACAATTACCTCCTGTTATTGTCTGTGGCTGAAATAGTTACAAAGCATTTGCTGATGGTTTCTCAATGAATCTGATTCCCCACTTGGTCTTTTGCAGCAACATCCCCTGGAATGCTGACTGAATGTTAACTGATGAATTAAGAATAGACATCACAGCACTCGGGACACCCGCATAAACGCTCCGCCCCCCCCCCCCCTCTTAAACAGCAAACTAAGAGTTCCAATTCCGATAGCACCAGCAACTGTCTGCGAATATATCCGTCTTGCCCTTCCCCTGAGTTTTGAACGTTTACCAGATCCCCTGGTAACTCCTCGCAACGGCATTCTCCTCAGACCGTAAGGATCTCTATCTGTGCCTCCGCACTGTTCACTCGCTCCCAAAGGACCCTCAGATATCTAGCTTGTCATACATCAATTCACCACCAAGAAGTACAGAGCCGGCCAGTCTATGTGTCTGCTCGTTTCCCAACACACCGGCATTATCTGGAGAAAATATAGGGGAGTGGAAATGTTAATAGTTTTTTTTTCCTTAAGCTGTATTTCTGCTGCTGACATCTTCTTCCCATCTGTAATTCATCATAGACGATGTCCGTGGGTACTGCAATCCTCATTCTTTCAAGTATGTCCTGGGCATCTAGATTGTGAAAATTGAGGACAGAAAATTGTCGTGGTGCCTACTCTTTCCAAAAACTCAGTATGTGTGATTTTGTCATGTCACTTAATGCCAAGTTTTTCCATAGACATCGCACGTCAAAACAATTTAATAATGTATGCAAATTTTTTCTTAGTTGTGTGGTATTTATGTTTTAAATATAAACTCATCATTAGGCATACTAAATGTGCCCATTGATTTGTACAACAGCGGCAGGCATTCTATGTGGATTCCTTTGTTCTAACGGGAAGTCAGTCACAAGCCCTGGTTGCTGGAGCCGACTGTCCGACAACGGCAACGTTTCTCCCATTGACTGTGACCTCCCAGGGAAGGGAGGAGCCAGCTGTTTTCCCTCGTGCAATTTGTATCTTTGAGCAAAATTTGGGTGAGTAATGAATGTTTGTCGGCTCTGTGGCTAAGTCGATGCGAACTCTCCGTAATGCCGGAATGCCAGGTTCAATCCCAGCTGCGGGCCACGCGCCTTGCGTTGGTTTCGACACTGGTATCTAGAAAGCCGACCGTCTAGGAAGCAGTGGCAAACTACTGGATGTAAACTTGCCTAGAGAAACCACAGAACAGCCAGGGGCTGTTAGGGTTGGTTCTGCAACGTCCTGTAAAGGATACGCAACTAACCTTTTAATGAATGTTTTCTTTAAAGTAAAGTACCATTCTCACCTAATTGAAGCGTTGAGTGCATAGTGCTTGACCCAGTGTTTTTTTCCATATAATAATTTACACGGAAAAGGGGGGGGGGGGAATTGAAGTGTTCACCAATAGTTTAGCTGCCTTTACTTCTGGGGATATTTCCTGGTATCGATGAAGGTTAAGATCCAAGATCTTAGGGTCGGCAAACAAGCACTAGCCACTGCACTACTGTGGCTCTTGAATAATCAACATTTTACAGTCAGAGATGCGGGGGGGGGGGGGGAGTTTTTAAGGGCCCAGTCCTATTATAAATTTAATATAATAATAGGATGCGCTGACACTAACGAAAGTTTCCCCAAGCAAAGAAGGTCACGTTTCATTCATAAGTTTGTTGGGTTGGTTTACATTGCTGCAGGTTACGGGTGTGCCGCTTTGTTGTTTGCTTTCTGGGTTGTCTTGTATTTACGTTTTTATTCCGAGAAAGAGAATACCTGTGACACAGGTTGCAGTACTCTCTAGGGGGATTGTGTTAGATCCAGTTTGACCATGTTTGTGGAGTGTTAAAATCGCTGGGGTGCTGAAATATACAACACGCGATATCAGCGGCATTGCGGAAAGCCATGTAACCTTGCGCCAAGGTAACTTGGCTCAAGGTCGACCAATCAGAAGTGAGCTAGAGTGTAACACTGTAAATTGGGAGACGAGCGTTAGTTTTACCTAGGATGCTATTTGAAACAGAAAGAATTAACACCCCATCACCATCACAGCTATTATCCAACCTTTTACAAGCAATGGCAAACTACTGGACGTAAAATTGCTTAGAGAAACCACACAACAACCAGGGGCTGCTGGGGTTGGTTCTGCAACGTCTTGTAAAGGATAAGCAACTAACCTTCACTTTTATACAGTGTTTTTTTTAAAGTCAGGTAGCGATACAGTGGTATGATGCATGGAATCTAGTACTTTTGACCTCTCCTTAACTTTTGCTTTTATAATTTTTTTGGGGTTCGTTTTTGTTTCCTTATTCCATTTTTTCCTATTGTAATGCCTTGGGGCGTTTTCGTTTCCTTATTTCATTTTTTCCTATTGTAATGCCTAAGGACGTTTTCGTTTTCTTATTCCATTTTTTCCTGTTGTAATGCCTTGGGACGATTTCGTTTCTTGATTCCATTTTTTTTCTATTGTAATGCCTTGGGGCGTTTTCGTTTCCTTATTCCATTTTTTCCTATTGTAATGCCTAAGGACGTTTTCGTTTTCTTATTCCATTTTTTCCTGTTGTAATGCCTTGGGACGATTTCGTTTCCATATTCCATTTTTTCTTATTCTAATGCCTTGGGACGATTTCGTTTCCTCATTCCATTTTTTTCTATTGTAATGCCTTGGGGCGTTTTCGTTTCCTTATTCTATTTTTTCCTATTGTAATGCCTAAGGACGTTTTCGTTTTCTTATTCCATTTTTCCTGTTGTAATGCCTTGGAACGTTTTCGTTTCCTGATTCCATTTTTTCCTACTGTAATGCCTTGGGACGTTTTCGTTTCCTTATTCCATTTGTTTTCCTATTGTAATGCCTTGTGACGTTTTCGTTTTCTTTTTCCTATTGTAATGCCTTGGGACGTTTTCGTTTCCTTATTCCAGTTTTTCCTACTGTAATGCCTTGGGAAGTTTTCGTTTCCTTAGTCCTTTCGTTTCCCTTGACTGTCTCGTGATCCTCTGCTTGTTTCTTCTGAGGATGTGACCGTCTTCTTGTGTCTGATAAGTGTTGATACCAGTAGTTGGACAGCAGCACATCAGGGTAATGGTGGTGATGACAACAGAATAACAAATCAACATATAATGATTTGTTTGCTTACAGGATGAGTTGAAATGGTTGAGACTGTAATGTTAATTCTTTCTGTTCAACATTACAGACTTAAAATATTCAGCTATTGTCCCTGTGTATAAGGCATACTACAGCCTTCAAATATTCAGCTATCGTCTGTGTAAATAAGGCATACTACAGTCTTCAAATATTCAGCTATTGTCCCTGTGTATAAGGCATTCAACAGTCTTCAAATATTCAGCTACTGTCCCTGTGTTTACTACAGTCTTCAAATATTCAGCTACTGTCCCTGTGTATAAGGTATACTAAAGTCTTCAAATATTCAGCTACTGTCCCTGTGTATATAAGGTATACTACAGTCTTCAAAGATTCAGCTACTGTCCCTATGTATAAGGCATACTACAGTTTTTATTCAGCTATTGTCCCTGTGTATAAGGCATAGTAAAGCCTTCAAATATCCAGCTATTGTCCCTGTGTAAAAAGCTTCAAAAGTTTCACCGAAAGGATCGGATCTCCCTGTAGAATGACTAGCCACCTACTGAGAGCATCGCAAAAATCTCGAATTTATTAGATCCAGCTACAATCCATAGTAATCTCCGTAAAGACTGCACTCGTGAACTGAACGATGAAACGAGGTCCTACAGAGCGCTATGCAAACAGCTTGACCACTTTGCCGTGGAGACTCCCATACATAATGCATTTCACAGTGTGGTAATAAATATTTAACATTTAGACTGAGCACAGTACACTATACATGTAATTTGTTTTAAGCTCGTATGTCAACAGATGTATAACCCCAGGATGCACACACATTCTCAATGTTCAGACTGTTGTGCAAAGTTCTATTAGCTTTACATTCAATGTGAAGTCACATTCAATGACTTTCACTGTGCTAGCTAACTAACTATACATGGCCATTTGTCCATCCCTGTCATTAATTATGTTCATTTTTGCTGCCTTTCCGTGTTGTAAACATTTCTGAAATGTTGTTTCTGTTGCTTCCAACTTTCCAATCCCAACATGTAGGTACTCCAATCAGAAGACACCACAGCTACGACAGGGACTCAGGAGTGGACTACGGAGGTATGTCTGAGTACACATGTAGAAATAACCTTGTCATCACTTTATTAAATGCAATTTTTCGTTATTTGAAGCCCCACTCTGGCTCTTGCAATATAGCCCGGCCATAAATATGGTCTAATGGCTGAACGCGGATTCTGAGACCTCTCCACAGGCGATCCTCATCCACATGGTGGCACTTTGTGTCATCGGGTGTTTATCGCTTGGGTGATGTCCTGGTGGGGTTAAAAAAAAAGATAGACAGAAGAGTCTCAAATTACTTGCAAAGAGAACTAACATTTTAATGAAACACGTTATCACTATCCTCAGGGTCATTTAATATTGCTTGACATTTTATGTTTAGAACATTAGTAAGTATAGAGGAATATGCCACATCTAGTTCTGCTCCTTTCTGACTAAAACAAAAGGGTTGCGGTGGTGAAGAAGTTCATTATTTCAGTACTAATCATATAATACTTTAAGTGATTCTGTTCTAAGAAGTTGTTACTTTTATTAATAACTGCACAATGGGACATAAAAATTGACTAATAAATGTTTTGAGTCCGTGGAACTGCAGCATTAGCACAGTGGGGCAGAATGGTTGAGTAATAAATGTTTTGAGTCCGTGGAACTGCAGCATTAGCACAGTGGGACAGAATGGTTAAGTAATAAATGTTTTGAGTCCGTGGAACTGCAGCATTAGCACAGTGGGACAGAATTGTTAAGTAATAAATGTTTGAGTCCAAGGAGGTATAACATTAGCACAATGGGACAGAATGGTTAAGTAATAAATATTTGAGTCCAAGGAGTTATAGCATTAGCACAGTGGGACAGAATGGTTAAGTAATAAATGTTTGAGTCCAAGGAGTTATAGCATTAGCACAATGGGACAGAATGGTTAGGTAATAAATGTTTGAGTCCGTGGAACTGCAGCATTAGCACAGTGGGACAGAATGGTTAAGTAATATATGTTTTGAGTCCGTGGAACTGCAGCATTAGCACAGTGGGACAGAATGGTTAAGTAATAAATGTTTGAGTCCAAGGAGTTATAGCATTAGCACAATGGGATAGAAAATGGTAAAGCAAGACATGGGTCAGTGTGGGTTAGTGTAACAAATAGATTATTCATAAGGAGCTAAGAAGAAAAAAAAAAGATGTCATCTGAAATCAACCAACACCTGGTGAGCTTCTTGCCACTTGAATAAGCTAAACTGTTCGTCCTGCGATCTGAAAGTCATGAGTTCATCGGTTGCTCGCCTTTCAGGAAGATGTACTCTGACTTTGAAGGAAAAAATATCCCTAATTAGTCGGCTTTTGTGGCATGCTTGCTATGGGGCGGTTGGCTTAATCTCCACCCACGCCCCCCACCCCGCTTCAAACAATGGAGTCAAGGAACCCTTAAGGGGAAAATGTAATGTTACAACCGTTTTTTGTTTTTGTTTGTATCTCTCTTTCTAGAGATTTCTCACATCATATTCTCTCCTTTCTCTCCCAAACCCCCCACATATTTGTCATCGAGCTTAGCTTGAGTTATTTGAGAAGAGTTAGAAGATGAAGTCGAAAGAAGCAGTCGTGCCAAGTACACCAAAAGTGAAACTTCAACCGTTTTGTGTGTATGGTTTGTTGCAGGTATGCTTGACTCAGCGCTAATCGTACGCTCCATTCATACAATAGACAACTATGACTACATCGTAGACTTTACATTTCATCAAAATGGAGCACTGGGTGTTTCTATCGGCCAATCTGGTTTCTTGTTTACTAGCTTCTATACTCCTGAAGAACGTCCTTACGGTGTAAAAATAACCGACCACATTACAGGCGCCTTGCACGTACATTTAGCAAACTTCAAGGTAAACTTTAGCACGTTCCTTACATAAGTCAGAGGGATTTTGTACAGTATTGTTTATATTTGTTGCATTCTACATTTATGTATGTGTCGATGAAGGATCTCTAACTGGAACGTTCAATTGTCGTTAGTGTTTGTTATAATGTAAAGCTAAGTGGTTATAGTTTTCGTTTGCTTGATATCTTTTCACGATATTCTTAAATATATATGCACATTTATAATCATTTCAATACTGATAGATCAGAAGCATTCTGGGGATTATTTAAGCAAGTACTCCAAACAAGTACTGCAAACAGAAGCAATCTGGACTTTTAAACCTCACTGGAGACAATGCTGCATGGGAGGAAGAAGAGGACGAGAAATAATAATAATAATATTCACATGTTACTGTGAATTCTTGAAGTATGGGATCATTGAAATATTTTATAACAATGTATGTGAGAAATTCGGAAGGTCGTGGTTTCGGTTCCTGACGGGGACCGGACTCCCAGGTCGACCCAGCTTTGAGTGGGTACCAGGTACAGTCCTATGAAGTAAAGGCGGCCGTCATGATGCTGACCACACCCCACAAAGTGCCGTCGGTCTATAAAATATAGGTCTAGCCCTATACATCAAATATGCTTGAAAGGCGTGGAAAAGAGTCCTTTACTTGCTTACTTTTATCTGTGGGCAATGCAAAATTATCAACATACACACACACACACGCGCGCTCGCACGCACACACACACACAGGCACCTGTCCCATCATCTTCTCGTTTTATAAAGTCTTTTTTTTTAAAGTCCCGTAATGGACATGCCTTGCTTGTTTCTCAAAATTATTATTATTATTCAATACATGTAAATATACGTTGCCATCCAAATGGACCCTAGAACTATTGAATGTTGAGTTCAGCCCATACGTGCAGTGGTAGGGTGGGTCTAAATGATTCCGTAGGCTAGCTGTTTCCCAGCCTTGCCAAAGTGAAAGCAAAGAATTCCAACACTGGCCCTACAGAGCGTGCATTAAAAGACAACCAAGAATAGAGCTGGGTTTGCTATAAAATCTCATAAATAATCTCAACTACAAAAACCAAACTAACTGTGCATATGTTTAGAAAAGCTAGGCAAAGACTGTTGGAGGGTTCTAGTTCTGCTGAGGGGGCGTAAACCGCAGGAGGAAGAGTCAAAGAAAAAAAATAGAACAACTCTGTGTTCATTATTAGTTTATAAATGAGGAGTTAATTAAAAAAATATATATATATATTTTTTTCACATAATAAGTTTAACAGCATAATTTTTTTTAAATGACTATAGGCTCAACCCAGGATAAAATTGAAGAAAACAATTTTTTTAGAAAAAAAAAAAAAAAAGAGGCTGAAGATATATTCACTACATCACCCACTGGGAGCTTAATGATATAAAATATGGACATAAAGCAAACACCCCTTATGGAAAGGGAAATTTTAAATTAGTTTTAAAACAATTAGTGCGATATTTGGCAATGAAATAAGAATGTTATTTACAGTTTTACTCACTACATTTCATTTATATATTTTTCAGTTAAGATTGTTTCCTTCTATTCAATAAACCTTTGAGAAAGTTTTCTTTTAAACAAATTATATATAGCTAATTTTGTTGCATAAAAAGAACCTGTGTGCACACAACAGATTAGTGAGAAACTTAGTTTTAATCAGTGCTAAACTACATCAATTGGAAACAGATCAAATAGTTTGGTCATATGTGCAGAATACCCCAAGATACTGCACCACAGAGAGTCAGACACAACTGAAGTAGAGTAAGAGGTCACCTATGCAGTGATGGACAGACGGAATACCACCATCTATGTAGCACACGCCGTCTTGCACCAGATGATGAGAACACCATAGACTGACTAAAGACATAATAAAGATGTCTGTAAATGTCTTTATAGAAATTTACTAACAAAGAAAGCTAATAATCTGCATCATAAGAGGAGAATCCATATTCTCTAGGAACGTCACGAGATAGGAAAGACAAAGTGACAACAGGAAATTTGGAGGGGAAGACAAGTTGGGAGAAATCAAGAAAGAGAGTGTTGTCCAGTTTGGCAAAAAAAACCTAGCAGAACATATGTAGCAGAAATGGCTGGCCGTCCGCAAGACCAGCTAGCTCCACGTAGTACGAAGCATATTCTGAATGTCAGTGAGATTATTACTTTTCACAATCTTTCAAATAATGAAATGAGAAAATTTCGGTTTAGTAAATCTCATTAACATGAATTGCAAGAGACCGACAATAGAGTTCATGTTGGGAAAAATATTCCTGCTAACCGGGGGGCTTATAACAGTAATACATCTCTGCTGGAATCAGTTTTGTTTAATATTAACTAAGTGTTCTACTCAATGATTTCGTAATTACAAGGTTTTACTGTAATTTAAAAAATACCTACTTATACTGCAGATAAATCTCGATGTGAATGGCACGAATCAATCAAAACTGTAGAAGCATGAACTATAAAAAGAATATTGATGCAAGTAATCCTTATCATGATGTGTCAAATGTGTCAAGTAATGAAATTAGAAAATGTGCACTTAAAAAACCCAGCTTGTTTCTCTTGCAGGTAGATCTGGATATAAATGGTACATCAAACAGATATGAATCTATCGACATTGAAGAAGAGACTGTAGACCTGAGACAGGTACAGAAATACAATTTGTCAAAATCTGAATTTCTATTATCTGTTCTTTCATTTTTCTTGATTAGCTACACTCGTATTTGTGTATTTTACATTTACGCTAGGTATGTTAAGAGTAATCACGGTAAGTTCATGGCACAAGCGAATCAGCGATCCTTAGTGCAGCAAAGTCTGTCGTATGATACTACAACAACTAGTTTGAGATTGGAGGTGGATGCAGCCACTGCAATCTTCTGCTGGCTTGAGAACTATCTGCCCACATATTTCGTGATTGTAACCAGCTCACATGACATGTTGAGAAAGGTGGAGACAGGTATTCTCTGTGCAGAGTGGCAGCATCGCTTCAGAGCTCCTGGCTAGTTAGTTACGGCTGGTTTGAGAACTATTTGCACACACATGTCATGGTTCTGACTCAAAAACTTGATGAATAAGGTAAAGACAAGTATGCTCCCTGCAAAGCGGCAAGCATCACTGCACACTAAAGTGAATCTCCAAAACACTATAGACTTGAAAATCACCAAAGGACTGAATCCAAAACCGAACCTATAACCTTCAGTGTGGGTATGTGATTTGCCAAAATCTTTTTTCATAAAAAATGACTACAATGTACTGACAGAAGACATAATTTGTTTAAGTTAATAGCCAAAATATCTTTCAGTTAAAAGTTCTATGAGCAAGGTCATGTGGCACCTGTTAAAAAATGCCTAAAATCTCTTTCTGGGTAAGAAGTAAAAATAAATATGTAAAAGGAGAGATACAAGAAGAAAAAATTTGTTAAATGGGACTTTTCAAAATTTCTTTCAGGCAAAGAAGTACAAATAAATAAGTAAAGGGATAAGTAAAATGCTGAGATACACAAAGAAATAATTTGTTGAATGTGACTTGCCCAAATCTTTTTAAGGCAAAGAAGTGAAAATAAAAATAAAAAAGAACTGAGATACAAGAAAAATAATTTGTTAAATGTGACTTCTCAAAATCTCTTTCAGGCAAAGAAGTAAAAGAAAAATTAATGAAAGGACTGAGATACAAGCAGAAATAATTTGTTTAATTTGACTTGCCAAACATTTTTTTTCAGGCAAAAAAGTCACAAGCAAAGTACTCACAAACCAGATTCTCCTATAACATCAAAGAGACTGAGCGTAAAGCGGCATTAAAAAATACATTTAATACACCGATGTACCACATTTTTCACAACAATGATGCCAGAAACAAATTTGGGGAAAAGAAAGCCTACAGGTAAATCCGAGAGCAAGAGTTGGAAAGTTTCACATTTGCTAACAAAATGTACTATATATATAGGTCATCTTTTGTTTCCTTTCAGAGCGTAGTGGCAGACTAATGAGCGTAAAATTGCATAGAATAAAAAATTTCTGCAAATCCTGGGATTGGTTTTCGATAGAATCTAAAAGATATCATCACCATCATCCTTTTGTGCTGTTATACATCACACGGGGCTCACAGTTTATTCTTCAGTTTCAATCAAGTGTGTGCAATTATAATTATTCACTAGTGTCTGCACAGAATTGAGGGAATTAAATGGTACAGTAGAATCACTAATGCAGAGCTTTGGGAGATAACTAAACAAGTTCCAGTGGACCAAAAGGTGAAGAAGGGACACTGGCGTTGAAAAAAAAAAACATTGAGAGAAGGTTAGAACAAAATACCTAGAATGTCTTTGCACTGGAACTCACAAGGGCATAGAAATAAAGACAGACAACAAAAAACAAAACAAAAACACATGGAGAAAGGAGCTAGAGAGTGAAGTTAAACAGATGGGGAGGAAATGGGAGGAGTTGTAGGTGAACACCTTGGCATAAGTTGGTTGAGGGTCTATGCTGCATTGGGGATAAAAAGGCAGAAAAATAAGAAATGTGAATGTCTGTGAACAGTTAATAATGTTGAACTCTCATGTGGGAGACCCAAGTTTGAATCCTCATAAGGTTGTGGATTTTTTAAAATATTCGGGGGCAAAAATAAAATCTCAACGTATCCAGTTTGTGGTGGCAACACCAGGAGTGCTGACTTAGATCTTCAGGCTCAAAGATCCTCCTGCCAACACTGCAAAAGGGGTAAAAACAGGCAGTTTTTGGCAGTGTATGTCTGGCCACTGCCTGGGGACTCCACAAGCACAGGAGCCCAATATTAATCTGTCTATATCAAGTGACTCGCCATTTAAAATTTATTTTTTTCTAGCACATTGGTTTGCCCAGTGGCCCATAAAGCTGTTGGTTCTGCATACAGTATTACATAAGCATGGGCCTTCCTTTCAGGCTTGCCAGCAATGGGATGGTGAAACAGCTGCTACAAAAGAATGTTGGCAACGAAGGCTCTCAAGCTTGGGCCAGATACCAGTTAGCTGTGACAAAACACAAGGATGAGGAACGGGTAAGCAGCTTCTACTCATCATTATCAAATGCTTAGCCTTGTCAGAATCTGCGATCTGCAACTGTGTGCATCAGTTCGTGTGTTGACACTCCTCTATAATGCTGTCACGAATATTCAACATTGTCTTCCTCTGTCTCTCTTTCTGCAGATCTTCCCAGTGGTCACAAACATATCTGCTAGTGTCATACATTTATGTTATATAGTAACTTGGTTTCAGAGGAGGAACTGCAGTATTTACTATCTGCGTTTGCTCATGCACGCTGTGAATTTGGACTAAAAGTCAGCAAAAAACAGGACAAAGATTATGGTGCAAGGTGTAAATGAATGATAGACCTGCAGTCTACATTAATGGTGAAGAACTGGAGACATTTGATCATTTTACCTGTCTGGGATCCACAGGGAATAACAATCGCTAGACCAAGAAATTAGCATCAGGATAGGTAGAGCAGCAACAATAATGAGCAGATTAACACCCACAAAAAGTAGTTGAGAACAGAAAGCTCATGATTAAAACAAAAACTCTTTGTCAATCAAGCATGTGTTTTAGCACTCTTCTTTATGGCTATGAAACTTGAACAACTTATTTGCACTTGCAAATATGGCTAGATAAGTTTTCATATGTGATACTTAAGAAGAATACTTGGCATTAGGTGGCAAGACACAATCATAAACACTAAGGTATTGGAAAAAGCAGGTATCACACAAATTTTCTCTATGCTCAGTCTACAAAGGCTCAGGTGGCTGGATTACAATCGGCTGTGACTCTCATGCCCCCCCCCCCCCCCCCCTCTCCTCCCCAGCACAACACAACACTATCGTCTATAACAGCGGTTCTCAACCTGTTGTAGGTCACGACCCCTTTGAGGGTCGAGCTACCCTTTCAAAGGGACTACCGAAAACACATATTCAAAGAAGTTACGAAGTAGCGACAAAAATAATTTCAATCATTTCAAGCAGTTTCAATCTCAGCCTCCCTCTGCCTCTTTTTCCCATCGTACTCCAGTTTTCTCCTTCTTATAACATGATCAAAGAATAAAGATCGTCTCCTTGCTATGTGGACAACCGGTTCTCTTTGTCAGTCAATTTCTTTCAAGACATCTTCATTACTCTTTTTAATATGTCCAGGATTTCACAGGTAATAATAGAGATTAACATATCCTTTAGAAATGTTAAGAGCAAGAGGTTCCACAATGTGGTCACAAGGACAGTTCAGTTGTATTCATTCAATCTATTTCAGACTACAGGAAATCCATATGGACAGTGGGTTAGTGACCAGAAAGTGGTTGACTTTGAGAAATTTATTGATGATGATGAAAATATTGTGGATGAGGTAAGTAGTTGATGCTGGCCTCTTCCAAGATTTAGAAATGTGTGCAAGGGGGTCATGAATGATATAGGTACTGAGGTGGATTCATAGGAAAAAGATGCCATGATCAAATGGAGGAGGAAGGGTGATTTGGGGGGGGGGGGGGGGGGGGGGGTGTTTATGTAAGGAATAACATAAGAGAAAAGGATTGCAGACAGGTCAAGGGTTTTGAGAGAAAAAAAAAATAATGTAAAATACATGTAATGGTATCAGGGGTCATGAAATCACAGACAAATTTATTAGGATTCTTCTTAACATGAGCTGGTCTCACTATCCATTTCCATGGGGTGTGATTCTCATGCATCGCTATACCACAACAGAAAACCTATCCTCTGGAGAGATGGAAAAGTGTCAACCAAGTTTTCAATTTCTAGTCTCAATGCCATCACTGTCTTAAAAGGTCAGAGTTGGCCTACAGCAGATACTGTGACAATAGTGTGAAGTGACATGTGACAGGAGCATGAAATAACCTCTATTAAGGGTGTGAAATGACAGGAAATTGTGTACATTAGTTCACAGAATTACGACATAGGTGACCAGATTTCTTCCTCATAGACTTTCCTTACTAAAAAACACTGTAGAGGAGGTAGTTTGAAACCATGTGACTGTGGGCTCACCATCAACAAAGATAAAACTGTAGCCATGCACCAGCCAGCCCCAGGACAAAGATACATCGAGCCCAATATCACAGTTATCTAGGCAACACCCTTTCACAGAGTGCCACAATTGATGACGAAGTAAATGCAAGGATCTCTAGGGCTAGCGTTGCCTTTGGCAGATTGTACAAAAATGTTTGGAACAGAAGTGGCATAACCCTGCAGGCGAAGCTTATACAGAGCAATTATATTACCCACACTGCTGTACGCATGCGAAACATGGACTGTATACCAGCGCCAGGCCAGAAAGTTAAACCACTTTCACACAGTCTGCCTTAGAAAACTAATGCAGATCAGATGGCAAGACAAAGTACCTGATACCGTAGACCTTGAGAAAGCAGCCATGCCCAGCATCCACACTCTACTGATGCAGTATCAAACTCATTAGGCTGGTCATGTGGCATGCATGCCAGATCACAGGCTCCCAAAAAAACTCTTCTATGGTGTGCTGCAAAATGGGCAAGGCGGGCAAAAGAAACGTTTTAAGGACACCCTGAAGTCTTCACTCAAAGCATTTGGGATGAACGACACCAATTGGGAGGCTGCCTTTCAAGACCGAAATGCATGGCATGCAGCTCTACACAAGGGCACGGCTACATGTGAAGCAAACAGAACAGCAATACTGATTAAGAAAAGGATGGACAAAAAGGCGACTGCAGGAGATCCTCTCCCTGGCACAACGCTCATTCCCTGTCCTCACTGTCCAAGAACTTTTCGGGCCCTCATCGGCCTCATTAGTCATCTTCATATTCATACTTGATGAAAAAGAGTGGTCATCATCATCTTGATGGACAACACACTGTGGAAAAAAACCCAGACACTAAGGCATAGTCTATATAAAAAAAGAAAAAGAGCTCATTATGCCAGCTGTGATTTTACAGTGTCCCAAAAAAAATATACAAGCCTTGAATTCCCCTAAAATATATTTACAGTTTAAAATTGTATATAAATGTATACAAACTTTAAAGTAAATGCAATGTACATATATATATAAAAGCATAATGTATAAAACATGAGTGTTTTGTAATTATTTAAAGTATGTATATATATATATATATATATATATATATATATATATATATATATATATATATATATATATATATATATATCACTAGTATATGTGAACCACTGGTTAGTAATCAAGAAGTGACAGTCTTGTTACATTTTGAGTAGAAAATAAAAAAGAAATCTATCTACAAAAGTAGGCCAATTCTTTTTTACTGGCATGGTGAAAGCTAAGTTACTGGAAAAAGCTAGTTGATAGTATCTTAAACATTGACTTCACCACCTAAGAAACTTACTTCAGTTTAAAGATGAGAGGATCCACTTCAGTGCCCCAGGTAATATCCCATATGACTTAAGTCTCTCTGTAGAATGCCAAGCAGGCTGCTGTGTGTTACACAAATCCAAAATTCCACAGATGATCAGCATGGATCCCCCAAAAAAACGTGCACTTGTGAACCAAACATTTTATCCATGAAATCAGCCCAAGACCTTCAGAGCATGAGGCAAAAGAACTACAGATGCCTCTGAAATGGCAGGCTGGACTGGGGATATCTTCTTCTTCAGGTTCCCCAGCTGTAAACTCAGGGGGGAAAGTTTTGTGTGTGTTTAGTCTTGTTCTAGAACTCAAGTTGTGTGTGCACATTCATTTTGCAAATCTGGCTTATTTGTATGTAGACTGTTGGTTCCTTGCCTCTCAGACAAATGCACTTTTGACTTCAAAGGAAGCAACTACAATTAGTTGACTTTTACAACATGCTTTTCAGGGGCAGTAGGTTCTTCAACACCCCCCCCCCCCCACACACACACACAGTGGGGCCCTGAAACCCACATGGAAAGAGGATTAAAAAAAAAGTAAAACCGTCAGTTATACAACAAAAGTCATCCCCATGTGGGACACAATTTTTCGTTATTTTGAAGCCCCCACCATGGCTTTTGTCGGGCCCGCAATATAGTCTGATGGCTGAACACGGTTTTTGGGACCTCTCCACCGGTGATCCTCATCCGCATGGTGGCACTTTGTGTCACAGGGTGTTTATCGCTCTGTGTGATGTCCTGGTGGGGCAAATTTACTTACACAACAAAAATCAATGTCTTTATTGTGTACTTCCATGCACATATCACTTTGAAAATTGCCTTCTCATAGGACCTGGTTGCTTGGGTTACCGTCGGATTTCACCACATCCCACATGCTGAGGACCTTCCGGTTACTACAACATCGGGAAAACACCAGAGTTTCTACTTATTCCCTTACAACTATTTTGAAGAGTGTCCATCAATGAAATCCCGAGATGCCATTTATGTCTCTCACAAAGACTCAAAGAGACCAGAAAAAGGACTACATTTTGAATACTATGGCACTGGGGATGTGAAAAAGTACAATAATAAAGGGGTCTGCAGATATCAGCCCCTTGATATAGCTGAATTCTGGATGAAAAATCCTGATGATTTGGTAGAGCTCACTAAACATAATGGAGTGATTTAACACCACATTCTGGAATTAATAAAGGCATCAACAGATCAAGATTACATGTTCAGCAGTCATGGTTTTACAGTTCTGTCATGTATCTAATTTAACATTCAAAGTTTACTATCCTGCCTGTGAGGTATCTATCAAATATTCAGTTTGCCAGCCTGACTGTGATGAATCTCAACTAACATTCAGTTTACAAACCTGATAGTGACGTATCTCATCCAACATTAAAAGTGTAGTCCTAGCTGGGGTGTATCTTATATAACAGCCAAAGTTTACCATCCTAACTGATGTATCTCATCTAATACAAACCATTCTGATCAGGAGGAATCTTATCCAAAGTTTAAAGTTTCCATCTAATCTGTGCTCTGGCTAATCAAATTTACTTAATACAGTACTATTAAATATATGAACTTTTACATGCAACACTCAAAACTTCAGTGCTTTCGATCACAAGCAATGCAAAATGTATGATGGGCTTTTCCCATGAAATCAAAAATTGTGTCCTATTGCTTTTTACAGTTAGTCACAATACACTAAAGAAATTAGGCAGCCATTCTGGTCACTGCCTCTGTGCAATTAGTTTAATATGGTTGAAGATTTCCAGATATGTTGCTGCTTTTGAGACCTAATAGAACTTCAGCTCTAGATAAGACTCATGGACCCATTTTGTTTTTGAAGGCCTGCCACATACATTTTTAGAAAGTAAATCTATATAAGAATTGCAAAAATAAAAATAAAAGGATTTGAGGTTTTTTCTGAATAACATCATAGACCCCTTACATTTGTTTCCATTTGAGAACCACTGATCTTATATAATGTATTTTACGACTATTTCCTTCAAGATCAAAAGCCTGGTCCCTTCATTTTCTTCAGGCTGTTTTATCAGTCATACCTCCTCTAAAACATGATGTTGACAACATCACCCACAGAATGCCGACTGGTCTATAAATTCAAGGTCTATCCCTATATATATAAAGCTCCAGAACACTTCTTGCAAGAATGTCGTCTCTTAGCGAAGTTACGAAGCAATTTGTGGCCACACCCAATAGACCTGACAGCTAAGCTTTGGGAAAACAGAAGCCTTGAGATGGCATTCCGGTTTATGACCCACAATGAATTAAGCACATGACTAGAGATCGCTGAAGAAGATATGCCTGAAAGGTAGAAAATAAACCTTTACTTTCAAAAAAATTAAAACTTTACCTCCACTTAAAAGGATTGTGGTCCTTTTCTTCACTTTCAAGTGTGTTTTTTGTTTAGATTATTGTTTACTAGCTTGATTAATTTCTCAAATGACATGTCTGTCTATGATGCCACTTGAAATCATGTATGACATGACCAGTCCTAGTTAGTTGTATGTCATCTTCAAGATGCAGCAAGCTTACATCCCAGCATGTAGTGGCTGTGTGTGGTGTTACTTTGCAACTTTACATTCACAAAGGAGTAAAGGATAAATATAACATAATTTAATTAGTTTGATGTTTTGTCCATTGATAAAGACTTGTTTAAATATTCGGTTGAATTTTTACATGGCTTTTTTCACCTTGCTGAGGTTTCTTGTCATATTTTGGGTTGTGTTTAGCTCTTTCTTAATTTTACACTCATTTAGACTGCTATAGTTGTCTGAATGGTACAGCACTGTACTTTGTCCAAATCAATGCAAAGTGGATGGCTGCCAAACTGCATGAAGGTGAATACGAACCCTGGTATGTCAGGAATGTGAAACTGCATTCACAATTCCTGAGTCACAAATGTTGACACCAGTATAAAAAAAAGTTACAATTTGTGTGGATGGCAAAGCAATGAAACAGAAAGTATATCAAGACAAGAAAGAAACTGCAAGTTTTGGGGACCAAAAACACGAGCATAGGCTGTACTGAACTGGACCAAAAATTGCACAAGGAAAACATCATTTCCCCTGTGGTAACCAATGGATGAGTAGGATGGATGGAAAGGAAAGTAGAACAGAAAAACATGTTGAAACTAACACTAATACATAGGGAAATTATAGTCCTTTTTTTTTCACACACAGATGATCCTCCATGCCATGATGTTAAACTGTCCAGCATCTTTTCTTCAGTCTCCCTCTGCCTCTCCTTCCCTCCAACTTTCCTACTGTCATGGTATACTTCAGCTTGTCTCCTCCTCATCACGAGTCAGTTTCTTTTAAGACGTCTTCATTACTCATTTTATCTGTCCAGGGTATTATCATTTGTCTATAAAACTACCAAGTTAGCCATGTAAAATTCAGTTGTCAAGAGTTCAAACCAACACTGAGAAGAGGTACCAGGAAATATACTTGAAAGTAAAGGCAGTGGACATGATGTTGAACACATATTTTTATCTAATACTACTGATTCATGAAAATATGTGACTTGTACCATAGCTGTGCCTTAAAGTGTGAAGTTTTTTTCTTTCTTTTTTTCGAACTCAAAATCTTAAATAGAGCTGTGGTGGCATAGCATCTAGATATTACTCCTTAGGCTTAGAGGCCTGGTATTCAAATCTGCACAGAGTTAAATTTGTTCAAAACCGACTTTGGTTTTCAGGTTGACCCAGTCTAAAATGGGTACAAGGAAATTAAAGGTGGCCAGCATCATGTTGACCACAACACACACACAAATGCTGACTGGACTATTTAAAAAAAAAAGAAAAAAAAAGTCTAGCACAGTATGCCAAATGCATCAGTGGCGTAAAAAAAAAGGACCCATAATTTAGTTACTCAACATCTAACATCATTAAAATTCTAATCTAAGTACCATAGTTTTAACCCTCTTACCCCAGGAAGCAGCAGATATGGCACTTTCAGCAAGCCCCAGTTCCCCTTAAATGCCACACTGAACTGCATATCTACAATGACGAGGTTATGAGATACCTAGTTTTTGCTATTGGCTGTGCTTGTTCATCATTTAGAAAGGCAGGATATGAATATATTTGCTAGTAACAGTTGGGTGAATTTTCTAGTGAATCAAATAGCTTTTTAAAGCTATGCTGTCTTTTTTTCAGAACTTAATTTTGAGTGCACATCCATTTCACAGATCTGGCGTATTCGTATATTAACTTGCTTCTTAGGCAGATGAACTCCGACCTCTAATGAAACACCCCTAATTAGTTGATTTTCACACTTGCTTGTTGGGGTGGGGAGTAGTTCTTTTGTTTTTACACCCCCCCCCCCCCCCCCCCCCCCAGAAGGTCAGTTCAAACCTGAGACTTTAGGACCGACAGATAAGCATTTTTTCCTTCATGTTCGTTTGCCACAAAATGTTGCTAAAAGTTCGGTTAGTCTACTTCCAGAACCTGAGTTTTGTGTGCACTCCTGTCTTACAGATTTAGTATGTACACTACTGGTTCTTCACCTCTTAGGCAGCTGAGCTACAACCCCCCCCCCCCCCCCCCCCCCCAGGAAGGTCAATTCAAATCCAAGACTCTGGGGTTGACAGACAAGCATCAAACAACTGGGTGAAAACAGCTTCATCACAAGAGAAGAGACATATAAAAAGATGTACATTTATTAATTGTTCAACACTATGTCACACAGGGCTCTCAGTCTATTTGTCCATTCTGTACTTTCCTGTGATAGTCAGTTCATTATCATGAATGGAATCTAGTCTAACACCTTTAGCTTCTCTCAATAGGGTTTTTCAAAGAGAAACACAGCTCAATGTTAAAAATAATGATTGGAGGGAATAATGATGGGCCTTGAGCACACTACATTAGTGTAGACAAATAGTTTCCCCCGAAATAAGACTGGGTCTTATATTAATTTTGCTTTGTAAAAAAAGGCAGTATGGCTAATTTTCAGATACAAAGATAAATTTATTTATGTACAAAATTCTACATTTATTTAAATAAAGCTACGTCTTTTTATTCTGGAACATGGTTACAACTGTCAGAATCCTAAATTTCAGCCTGTGTTAAGTCCAAGAACTGACATCACGGCACTTGGGGCATTCCCATGCGTAGTGCAGCCTGAATCTGTTCATTATCAAGTGCGTACTAACGGCATTTTTTCTGACTGTCCAATCGAGAACTCTCTCATTCTAACTGATGATCTTACCCACATCTTATTTCAAAAGTTGGGTTTTTATTAAAAGCACCCTTAAAAATTGTGCTAGAGTTTAATTTTTAGGAACCACTGTAGAAAAGATGGTCCTGGAAAAAGTCTTGATGAATACACTGATGAGATGCAGGAAAGAAGATAACTGAGACTCAATATGTGGGCCCTTTTGTTTTAAAACTTTATCTTCGCTTAAAAGGGTTGTTGTCCTTTTCCTTCACTTTCATGTGCTTTTTTTTTAAAGAATAATAATATTCACCAGCTTGATTAATTTCTAAAATGACATGTCTATTTAAAATGCCACTCGAAATCACATACAACATGACCAGTCATTGATTGTATTTACTCTTCTGGATGGTGTTACTTCGCAACTTTAATTTCATGAGTAGTAAACTCAAAGTGAAGATGGTAGTTGGTGATGAAAGACAAGCACTGTACACATGAATAATTCAAACATGACTTTATTACTATGCAAAATATGGACTGCTGCAACTTTTAGATCAACAAGTCTGCTATACTGGGGGGATGCTTACTGATAAGCATTAGCCTTATGTTTGGGCAGGAACATGAAGGTCGGTGGAACAGGTCCCAGGAGCATTTCACTGTTTCAATAAAGAAAATGAAATAGTATCAGTAAAAAACAAAGCTCTATGTAAATACTAGCTACATATATATTAAAAAAGCAATTGTTAAATATACAGATTTAAAAAAAAAAAAAAAAACTTCAAATATAAATCTACAATAACTAAAGGATTATCATCACCACATGCTTTTCTAGGTATGCGTTCATATCTCTCTATAGATCCTGGCCCTTGGATTCTGAATCAATTCTACTGATGACATTCCACCATACCATCACTTCAGGTCGTCAAGCATTGTTTCTCTTGGTTGCCTCTGCCACCACTGATCTTTGCAGTCATCATAATGGTCTTCAGTGCTTCTCTTCTCATCACATACTAAAGGACACTGGTCGCCTCTTTCTGACAGTCTGTAGTTTTCTAATTTCATCAGCCATTCCCAAGCAGTTGCTGCTGGTTACTTTGGCTTCCATGGTATCCGCTGCATGTGGCTCAGAAATGACATCTCTAAAACCTCCAAGTTCTTTGTACATTCACATTCTAAGATTCACAGCCACATACCAGCACTGGTTCAAAATAAATTTCCGCACCGAGTTTTTAAAAATTTAATGAGAAAGACCTGTTGCATAAAATATTTTTCATCATTTGAAATAATATCTTCATTTGGCATATCATGCTCTTAACCTCTATTGAACATCTTGCAGCAAAAGTTTATTTCATCTCAATTGAAAAACCACAAAACATTATTATGAATTTTCAGACAGTTAACTTTAAAAAATGTAAATGTAAAAACAAAAACAGAAAACAAAGCAACATAAAGTCTGATTAAATTAAAACAAAACACATACACAACAATACTATCTTAGAGAACACACTAGAGAATAAGAAAACTACAAGCTACAGCAGTGCCAGACTAAAATCAGTCCCCCCAATACCTTTTCTGTTTTATTTTGCCCAATAGGGCACAAAGCAAAATTGTTACAATGAGTCTCTCAGGAGCTACTTGGTGGTAAATTTATGCTTGACAAGCTAAATATTGCCAAGACCTTTTGGCAGCAAGTGAACAGTGCAGGGGCACAAACAGATTATCATGGTCTAAAAAGAATGATGCAGCCGGGAGTGCCAGGAGGATCTGGCCGACGCTCAACACTCAGGGGAAACGGAAAAGATGAAAATACAATCAGACTGCTACTAGTATCATCAGCATTTGAACCCTGCACTAGCTGCTGAAGATGAGAACAGGACGCTTATGGAAACATCTGGAGTGCTGTAAATTCAACTGTCAACTCAACACAACTCTCAGGAGCCTATGCAAACAAGAAGAATGTTCTATATTAGAATAAACTAACAAAATCCTCAACAGCACAACTACAAGAATTAAACTGACCTGATCTTGATCCAGTCTGCACAATTAGCACTGGCCATCAGTGTTTCCAGGTCATTACGTCCAATGTAATAAGGAGGACGCTCGTTGATGTGTTGGGGTACCTGTTCTAGAACTCCAACTGGTATGTACCTGGAAACAAAAATATCAGGTATAATAAAAAAAAAAATCCATCAACACTAAGGTGGGAGAGTATGGTACACGGTAGTAACCCATAAGTGCTCCATTCTAGTTCTAACTCAAGCCTGAGTCCGAAGACTCTCAGTACAGTGCATGAACTCCGTAGCACCGGCGTGGATACTAAAATACTTTAGGTAGGTTTTTAACTCCAAATTTTGCTTGGGCAGTGCCGTTAGGCTACTCTTTTTGATTTCCAACTATCAATGGATTTTTTATGCGTGCAACAATACACACGGGCGCCGGATTTTACTATCCAGAGACCAAGGGGAAATTACTAGAAGCCCACGCGAAAAAAATCCCAGACTTCACCGGGGCCTGAACCCAGGACCTCCAGCACTTGAGGTGGATGCCATGCCTCAAGATCACTCAGAACCCAAAGGGGGGAGGTATGTGTGTGCATATGCGTGTGGAAGCCTATCTCCTTCAGCATGTATAAATCTGCTTGTTACCTTTCTATCTGCAGCTTTAGATTTGAGCAAGCTCTCAATTAGTTACCTTTCATGACATGCTTATTAATGAGGCAGTGGGTGTCCTGTGTTTTCTCTACTATTTTTTCATGCCTTATTGTGCTTATTATCCTCCTCACAAAACAAGCCCTCTAAGTTTTCACCATCTCACGTGGTCACTAACTATAGTTCTGTATTGATGAATTCATGACATAATCATTAAAAAAAAAAGTCAAAACAATTGACTCAACTTCTCTTTTTTTTTTAAACAACACCACACACAGTATACTGCAATAAGATATTTAACTATCATGCCGAAAAGCACTTCTGCCACTCGCCTTACCTGTGCAAAAATGATAACCACTCCAGTAAGAAACGCCGTGTGTTTTCAACTCCCTGGTGATCCGAACCCCAGTGTTCCAATCCATAGTTGGTAAACTTGCGCAGAATGTCAAAGCGCTCCCCGGAAGAGATGTCCCAATGTCTCTGTTCCTTGATTTCGGTGAAAATCCAAGGCTTGATTAAAGCTCCCCTAATAAAATAAAATAAAAATATCTACAATTAACAACAACTTGATTCAAAATTAATAATTTCTATATGTAGCATAGGATGTGAGTCATGGACTATCTCGTGGAGGAGGAAAATAGGGGCTTTTGAGCTGAAATGCTGTAAAAAAGATTCTCAGAATAGCATTTATCAAGAAAAAAAAACACTGAAATCTAAGATCTGAACATCAAGGCTAGTGAATAGCATCTTGTCTCTGAAGCTGAAATATTTTGGCCATATAAATGCTACGGTGGATTGGGAAAAAATAGTAGCAGAGGGAGTGGTGTCAGGAAAGAAATGATGGGCACAGGATGAGTGACACCTTCTGTGGTAAAGAGCACGAGGCGGGAGATACAGTGACAGATAGGCAGGCTGTGATGAGAGTTGAGCTCTGAAAAATGATCTGCTTCATGATGATGATGAATATCTCTATAGTTTAATGGATGCAGTAATAGTACACAGTGAGAAACCAGGCTTTAGATAACCATACGTACACCCCCACACCCAATAATTATGGTCGTCACCAATAAGAAATATCAGTGCGAAATACATGCAAATGGCAAAGGTTTGAAGCTAGTGAATTGACACAACTACTTCAACCCATAAAACAAAAACTGAGAATGAAAAGCTGTTGTGAAAAAAAACACATGAATGAGAAAAGGGAGGAAGAGATTATCAAGGTCCTAACACAGATGATGTTTGCATGAATTTAAAATCTTTACTTGGGTAGATTTTTTAATACTGAACTTATCCAGTGCTGATTTGTCAATAAAATAATAGAGCTAATATCATATGCCCGATACTCCTCAGATGATCTCAGGGCTTGTAAACTAGTTTTTGTTTTTTAAACTTTTCACTTGCTAAAGCTTTACTTACCTTGCTATCATAACCCCACTAACACCATGGTTGTTCATGTGAAGGTTTGCTTCCTCGTATGATAATATATCACCATTACCTTAAAAAAGAAAACAGCACTTATCTTTTAATTTAAAAAAAAAAATAGTAAAGATACAATAATAAAAACAACAATGAGCTATCATCTTGCTACAACTATTTTACTATGAGCATACAGTTTAATTTTTTTAATAGAATAAAGATGTACCAAAAAAAAAAACAAAAAACAGTAGGCCACTAATTGGGTGGGAGTCGATAATTTCCTTTCATTATGACAACTGAACAAAATTTGTGATGTGATTTTAAATAATGCAGACACAATAAATAAATGACTTAGGCGAACAATACACATGAATAACTGTGCGGATATGCACATTTGCCAGGCAACAAACTGCAATGTATTGTTTGTGTCCGCATTATTTAAACCCACATAAGTCTAAAAATTGTCCAGTACACATTTTTGTTAGACTTGTGCATACTCGTGAGCCTTTTAGGTCAGAAAATAATTATACTGCTGCTGCAAGGGTTTAAGCCAAGACCTTTATCTTGACAGGCAGGTTCATGAATCACTGCAGGTCAGGTCATGAACTCATATAAACAATTACAAAATATACTTTTTTTTTAACTCCACAAAGGTACATTTTAGAAAATGCATGTAAAATAGATATTAGTTTTAGTATTTTTTCTAAAAAGGTAAAACATACAGCTGAGAGTTCCCAAATTGCTTCTTCTTACAGCCCAAATCATGTGGTGTTAGTAGTCATGTCTACTCACTGACATGACATTCTGCAAAGGACCTGCTATATGATAACGATAACTGTTACTCATTCATTCATTCGCACCTTTCCGTCTTTCCAGACAATAGTGTTAAATTGCGCTATGAGGAGGCATGAGACTCATAGCCCATGGCGATGGTATGACTAGCAAGACCCGTCAGTGTCAAGAAAAGTCTTCCACAATGATAGCATGGGATTTCAGGATAACGATAACTGTTACTATATAACAGAATACTAACAGTACATACCAAAAACAGGCATGGGCGATGCAACTGCTGCACACCGTGCGGCGTAATCCCAGTCAGCCAGTTTTGTGTAGCGCTGTTCTCGAGACCTGCCATGCAGCTGAAAAAAAATGTAATTAAAGTGGAAATAAGTCACAAAGAGGCAAGAAAATATGCCTAAGGAGAAAAGAGATGATGATGTAACTGTAGAAAGAAAACAAAAACATCAAATATCAACAAAACAACTGCAGGGCTCAGAATTCATCACACAGCTGCATCTTAAGAGAAAGAGTTAACAGCTGCTTCTCATGGCATCTCCCTTTCTTTCTGATCATCTTGAAGTGCTTGCACACGGGTCAAATGTCTACGTTCAAATGGAGCAAAAGCCTACAACAAGTATACCATGACATTCCATCCTTGCCATTTCGTGCAGCTCACCCTGTGTCCTATTCATGTCTCTGCAGCTATTCTCCATGCTTTAAAATTTTATTATTTTGCTTCTATGGATTTCAATGCTGGAATTATATTTATATTATTATCAAGTTTTCTCAATGTGTGTCATATGAAGTGGTTTTTTTTTTTAAACTATACTTCTTGATTCACTGGAATTTGATAAATTCTTAAAGAAACTTCATTCTCGATTCTGCCATACCATTCTCAGGAGACACCAGTAAATTTTGGCTTATACTCTTCTTCTTCTTCGCATTCACCAGCTGTAAACTCTGGCAGAAAGTTCTGGTTGTTTATCCACTTCTGGACTGCAGTCTGTTCCAGAACCTGAGTGCTGCATGCACAACCATTTTACAGATTTGACTCATCTTAATGCAGACTGTTAATTCCTTGCCTCTCAGACAGATGCACTCCGACTTCGAAGGAAGCTTCCAGTTACAACTTGCTTTTGGGTAGGCAGTAAGCTAGTTTCTTTCCCAACAACAGGATCCCAGAACCCACACGGAGAGCTTTAGTATACATTCTTGGGACAGTTTTCTGATAGTTCATTTACTTTCAAAGAATCAGCAACAATTATTCTAAATGTAAACAAAGAAGCAATTATCAACCTACTGTAACTAGAGACACACCAGCATCTCTCAGACGTGGCAAAATGTTGTGTGCAACGTTCTTGTTATCAAACACTCCTGTCCTCAGTTTTACTGTCAGGGGTGTATTCCCCATAACCCCAATCATGCTGCGACAAATCTGCTCCAACTTAGTGGCTTTTCCCATCAAAGCACTGCCCATTCCCTGTGAATATAAGAAGTATACAAATAATTTTAGCACCTTACCACAACATTTATATGATAGTCAAATAACAATGTTAACCTGTCATTAAGACGCATTAGAGATGTGTGAGGCCAATATTGTCTACGACATAAGGGATACCATGGTCAGTATTACACTGAAATAGGAAACTAACACACCAAGGAAGCAAGGACACCCAAAAGTAACTCTCCGATGAATACTGATGACAGGCTAGAGGTGCCGGAAGATTCTATACATGATATTAAAACAGATATACAAGACAAAATGGAAGGGAGGAATCAACTGGGAGTAAAGTGATATGTACTGGCAGCAGAATAATGTGATGATTACACTTATCGCCTTTATCATCTAAGGGATGAAGCTGGGTCAACCCCTGAGCAACCATGATCCCCAAAAATTGAAGCTTAAAATAGTGGAAATGGAGCTAGGATCACAGTAATGGCAGACGAGTGCACTAACTAAATGACATAAAGAAGAGGAATTAACGTAGGCTGCTTCCCCGTGTGGGTTATGGGGCCACATTTTAGGATGAAAAAATAAAGACCTACCGCCTCCCCAAAAGCGCGTCGTAAAAGTCAACTAATTCGGTGGTATTTTCATAGAAGTCGGGCGCATAACCCCATGAGGCGAGGAAACAAGTTTGCATAAAAATAAATCAGCTATGTAAAATGGATGTGCACATAAAAGTTCTGGAACAAACCCACAGTTCAGGAGTGGATGGAACCACTAGAACTTTTCGCCGGAATTTATAGCCAGTGAAAGCTAAGAAGACAAAGAAGAAATAGAGGTTTCAGGGATGCTTGGAATAAAAAAAGAGAAAATGAAATTTAAAAAAAGAGACAAGTAAAATAATTTGCTCACACTGAACAACATTACAAAAATCATACAAGTGGGGGAAAAGTAAGAGGCAGAGAGTGATATAAGTGAAAAGTTACCATCAAGAGATAAACAGAAGAACAACATTTTATCAGAAATCCACAACACCCAACCTTCCTTGTTTACATAACACAGATTCAGGCATTCTGTTTACCTTCTGATAAATCAGATCAATGGGACAACCACAGTTGATGTCTATGAAGTCTACACTGCATGTTTCTGTGAGAAGCTGGGCACATCGTGTCATGGTATCTGGGTAAGATCCACAAATCTGCAACAGTGACAAAAGTATTAAACAGCCCGCTCTTCAAATATGTGTGGCACTGTGGATTTAGAGGTTAGTGAACATTTTCACATGACTCGACGTACCAGGATTTGATCTCCACTGCAGATGCTTAAGAAACAAACTGTTTCCATGGATATCAGACAGTGGTAAGAGAGCAGCACTGTGGAAGAGTTAAGGCCTCACCATGTACTATTGCCAAAGACGTGGTGGATGTACATATCTAATGCAGGTAACTTCCATTGTTCCTGGTATGGGTTGGGAGGGGGTGGGGGTGAGCACCCTTTTGGAGAACAAAGAAAATACCCACTGCCCCCCAAAACGTGTGTCCTAGGAGGCGACTAATTAGGGGGGTTTCCTTAAAAGTCGAAGTGCATCTGTTTGAGAGGTAATGAACCAACAGTCTGCAAGCAAATAACAAGCCAGATCTGTAAAATAGATGTGCATGTAAAATTCAAGTTCTGCATTAAGACCAAAGTCCAGGAATGACCCAGAACGTTCTGAAAATGGGAATCGGCACAGGCCAAGCATACTAAGATCATTAATATAATACAACTGGCCTTGATCTGCGGGCCAGATTTGGCACGCGGGCCACCAGCTGAATAGCTCTGATCTAGGTCATTTTTCAAATCACATTTTTTAAAAATATCAAAACAGGCATTTTTATAATGAAACTGTATACACACACAAAAACTCGAGCTCAATTCAAGAATATATTTGGAACTTCTGAGAAGGTCTAGAAGAAACATTGTGTAGTTTTTTTCTGAACAATTCTTTGAAGAAAACTATAGAGGAATGCGCTTTAATCCTTTTATATGTATAAATATATGTTTCTGTGTGTATATATACAAACAAAGACACATATTTATATATCTACATACACACACAGATATATATATATATATATAAATGTAACTTGCACTGGATAAATTAAAATGAAGTAGTACATCTTTCAATAATCTTGTGTTAAAAGGATAAATCATACCTGAACACCAAACAGGTCTTCACTGGGATGGCGTTTGATGAGAGACCACTCTGACTGTTTGCCTTTGAGTAACTGAGTAACCAGTGCCATTTCTCCACAGGTTATATCTGCACCAAACGTTTTGCAGATACGACGGAAGGGCAAATTACCAACCTGAAAAAGAAATATGGCAAAAGTCATTTCTGGTCAGAAAGTCATCAGTTATAAATAGTGAAGATAGTTTGGCTTTATGATGACGACTGTTGCTAATGAAATACCTAAAATCTGAAAAGGAAACATTACCCTTGACCACCAAGAACTCTTTAAAAAAAGGTCATGACCTTGTTAGGATTCTTGTAAAAATGTATAAAAACAATAATTTTTACACAGGTCAATCATAAATATTTGAAAATACACATGTATCAGGCAACTCATGCCATAACCCTGTGACCTTTACCACTGAGGCTTATGAGAAAATATGAAATATGACATCATGTTAGCTTTAAAAAAAGAAGCTATTTAGCATAAAGGAAAACCTCTCTAAATGCTACTGTTAGTTAACTTATTATTATCCTGATCCCCTGAATGTTTGCGCAGGTGCAAACTCAGCCAATAGCATTAACTATACAGGTCACGATAGACAAGTTGGAAAAGTGACATTTAGGGGGAACTGGAACCAACCAGAAGTGTCGGGCAAAAGGGTTACATTGGTTTAATCCTAGACAGATTGTATGTTCTGTACTGGGTTATGATTTGGTCACATCTTAATATGCGACGTCCATGGCTAAGGCGTTGCGAGTCTGACTCGTAATTCCAACGTACCACGATTGAAACCCATTGCTGGCTGTGTGGATTTTTAGCATGGTATGGGATGTCGCAGGTCGACCCAGCCTAAAATGGGTACCAGGATGGCCGCCCTGGGGAAGTAAAGATGGCCGGCGTAATGCTGACCACATTACCCACAGAGTGCCGACTAGTCTGTAAAAATATGGGTGCTCTTCCCATATGCCCAATGCGCCTAAAGGCGTGAAAAAGGATCTTTACTTTTTTTTTTTTACCTTTAAATCTTAATATAGTTCTTTGCGCACCTGAAGTTTCGTAGCCAGTCTTAAACATCTCACTGATTTCTGGTGAGGTTGTTGAATTAAGAATCAACATCACAGCACTCGGGACACCCCCATAAGCGCTGTCCCCATCTTCAGCAGCAAGTGAAGTGATCCGATTCCGATAGTACAAGTAACTGTCTGATTGTATATCCATCTCCCCTGGCAACTGGCTTAGTCGATCTGCATGCCAGTGTGCATACAGATTTAGAAAGTTAAAACAGTGTTTTTACAGTACTGACAACCAACAGCAAGAATTTGTTTAGAAATTATTTTGCTTTCTTCTGCTAAAACCACATCTATTTTTCAGTAAGTGAAAATGTAACCTTGATCAGAAAACACTGATATAAAGATAAAACCATGTCAGGCTGTGAAGTCTATACTTTCTAGTCCCTTTCCTTGTATTCTCACACAATTCTCAAATTATATATTCTATTACTGTGTCTTCTTACAGATTTTCATATCTAGCCAGTGTCTTTTCCACACTTTTTTAACCACTGATATTTTTTTTACATTCTCCAAATCAGCTCTTCAGCTTAGACATTTTTCTGATCAGATACAATCAGATTTGTTACTAATGATGAAAGATCACATTTACTTACTGTTGTCAGTGGTGCAAGATACAGCTTATTCTTGAAATCAATCTGAGAAATTTAAACAAGAAATTAGTATTAATATCAAATGAAAATTATGAATCTTTCACCACTTTCAGAAATACTTCCAGAAATTAACTGTACATTTTCCTGACAAAGTACACTGGTACATCAGAATTCCAACATAAGCCTTTCAAAGACAGTTTTCAAGTTCTGTATTCCAAAATGATTTTCCCCATTGAAAATAATGGAAAGTTAATCTGGTGCAGACTTCAGCAAACTAAAATTTAAAAAAGGTATTTTTCTAAATACAGTACACTGTAAATATAGCAACACATGATATTTCAGTACAATCGTAAAAAAAAAATTTAAAAAAAATATATATATATATATACACAGTTAAGTTAACTGCGTATCCTTTACAGGACGTTGCAGAACCAATCTCAGCATTTTCTAGCTGTTGTGGTTTTTCTAGGCATATTTACATCCAGTAGTTTGCCATCAATTTTTGGATGGTCGGCTCTCAATACCGCTGTTGTGTAACTGTAAACTCACAAAACTGGGTCAGCTGTCTGGTCCTTTATGAAATGGACAATCAATTCTGCCTTAGATTGGAGTTAAACTCATTTACTTTGCTGCCATGCAATGAACTCAGCCACTATGCTACTTATACCTTGCTGATGAGATGAACACATGAAGAAAGAAAAAACATGGCATAGGAAATAAATTAAGTCAAGAGACACACAACACAACTGCTTATATCAGGCTCAGCAAACCGGATGTGATAAAGCTTCTTTCTCTAAACCTACGAGTATGTAACCACAGAACTAAAACAGCACCAGTCAGAATATCATTGATGTTATTTGTGACATTGCTGAGGTATAACAAGAATAAAGACAGTAAAGAAAAGGAATAGTTGTTTTACATTTTATTATGCAAGTATTAGAGTTACATGAGAAGCTTGCAGCCAGCAAGACATCATCACCATCACTACTATCGCTCCACTTAAAAGAGGAAACAGCCTGTGTCTGTAATTTGGCCAAGAAAGTACTGGTGAAGTGAGTCAAGAAAACCTAGTCAAAAATATACATGTCTAAGGAAAGACTTTTTGGTCTAAAGGCACAAATACAGAAATTCTACAGTATATGACAACACAAACAACATTTTCAGTGCGTGCACAGAAGGTAAGAAGTATTAGATTTTTTAAAAAGAAGAGATGTTATAATAAAACCTCACCTTTTTAACTTCTCCAGGCTGAAGACGAATAATTTCCTCATCTGTAATGCAGCCAAATGTCCTTTGTTCTGCTTTTTCATGTGTTGGTAATTTCAAACCTGCAGTCTTGTCTAAATCTGCTGGTGCAGCACCGGAAGACAATATCTCGGTTCTATTCTCTACATGAATCTCTTGACTAAGAACAGCTGGTTCAATAACAGGAGGAATGTTGTTAGCATTGGAGTTACCTATTAAATCAGTGTCTGACTGTGAAATTTGAGATGCGGTTTTGATAGCTTCAATTTTGTCATTTACAACATTCTTGAGAGTTGGATTTATCCCAGAGCTAGAATCATCCCAACCTCTAAAGGTTTTCTGAACATCCTTGACAACTTTGTCAGCTCTTTTAAAATCATATTTCCGTTTCCACAGTTTATTTCTTACATCAAAAGAAAGCTCATTTATGGGCTTTGAGACTCTGTCTTTGTTATAAATTTCCTCATTTGTTTTATTCTGGAAATCTTCAGTCATGTGATTTGCAGCAAATCTACATGAAATACCATAAGGACAATGTCCAAAGGTGTCATAGATATAGCAAGATCCGGCTAATTCTGGAAGCTTCTTACTGATGAAGTCCTCTTTATCATGACTAAACTTACATCGGTCTCCAAACCTGCATTCTTTATTTTCTTTTATCGCTGGACAAATCCTATCTTTATCCTGCAATCTTTCATGTTTTGGTCGATGTTTATTTCGACCTTTCAATTTAGCCTTTTTATGTGGGGGTTCACCCTCGTCGCCAGCAGCAGCTCCCTTCTCTGGATCACCGGCATGGTCTGGCAATGAGTCTTCAGCATCTTCTAGTTTCTCTTTAATTTCAGAACTTACATATGCAGTCTGAAGTTTCGGCTTATAATCAGGAACTAGAAATCTGTCAATGAAAAGAAAATATTACTGTCGGGAAATGTAAACATATATCACATGGTTTAATAACCATAAACATTATATTTTTATAAATTCTAAATAGAACAAGAACTTTATAGTATAAAAATACTGTAAAAATGACTGAAACTGAAACAAATAAATATGTTAAACTACAAAAGAATTATCTTTACTGCACTGGATAGAACCTCATATATGGATTTTTGTGTGTGGCACGCAAACGAAACAGTGAGAGACAAAACTTCCCTGCAATACATGCACCTATTGTATGAACTATAAGACAGCAAACAGGCTTTTCTCCCTTAACCACTCCTATACACTAGATATTCCCCCTCATGACTATGCACATGACTGCAGGTGTGAGGTCAGGCCGGTGTAGTGAGTAGTGTAAAAAGTTTTTTCAAAAAAAGGTCCCTTCTGCACGCCTTTAGGTAGGCGTATAGGGCTAAGCCTATATTTTTTATAGACAATCAGCATCACGCCAGCCGCCTTTGCTTTCCTTGACTGCACCCGGTACCCACTCAAAGTTGGTGGGTCGACCTGTGAGTAAAGGTCATTTTTTTTAAAAGTCTGGCTCCACCTGGGAGCTAACCCATGACCTTCTGATCTGCACGAGTGCACGCAAGCATCTAGAGTATGAGGGTGTAGTGTATAAAAATAAAAATTATAATACTTCTTGTAATTAACATTCAATTATTTTTAATGAACCCTTACTCTTGTTTGATAGAGGCATATCCAACTTTCTTGATCACTGTTGTAGTAGTAGTACTAGTAGTAGTTATCTGGGAGCAGTCACTGCCATTATTTACTTGTGCACACATAGACAGTCCTTGACCACCTGATTCTGGATTCGTTTGTTCCAAAGAAGCTGGAAGAGCCTCCTTCTTAATCAAGAAGGCAGGTTTGCTGCTTGTAGTAGTAGAAGTAGTAGTAGCTGTACTGCTGCTGTCAAGTTCTAACACAGCACTGTCAATACTGTCGTCACAATTTTCTCTAATGATGCTGCCACAGGGGTCAAGACTTAGACTGTCGTTATTAGCATTAGTTGTAACAGTTTCTGCGTTGGAGGACATTTTCAGCAAATTGTTACTATTACTACTGATTTTGTTTTTAGTAGATAATAAGATATATACTGTTTTTAGGTTACTGACTTTCACTTTCGGCTTTCGTCTTTTACAATTTAAAAAAAAAGTTACAAAGAGAACGTCATCAGTAACTTGAACTTGGTTAACGGTCAATAGTATCAAGAGCCGGTCGATGTCCTTAATGTCTGGAGAATATTATAAAGCATCGTGGCTGTAAAACTCTGTCGTCAGTACTGACAACAGAATAAGAAACGGGAAAGTGAAACACGCTTGGTTTTCTAATACCGGAAATCATTTGTGGGTGTGGTTAGGTTTTAGCAGTAGGAAATCGGAATTCATGGGATTAAAAGTGTAACTGTAAACTGCGAGACAAGTGCATTCCGAGCCCTTGAGATTCATTGCTGCAGATAACACCCGCCTCCATTCAATCTCTCTGGTTAACCTTCTCTTTCCATTTGGTGACACCAAGTGTTTGCATGCCTGTGTGGACATTATCTTTCCTCATCTTCTTGGTCTGCTTTGTGGTCTACGACCATTCTTCTCATTTGTGTATAGTTTTTAACCTCTCTTGTCTTCTGACATTCTTTCAATTTGCCCCAACTATTTCGCTCTCACGATGCCAGTGACCAATAGTGATTTAAACAGATTGCTTCTCACTCTCCATCCCCTTCTGTTTGCATCTTTAAAAAGGGTCAGACTAGTTGTATAGTTCTAGCCCTATATGCCCAATACGCCTGAAGGCGTGAAACAGGTACTTTACTTTTTACTTATTACAGTGAAGTAAAGGACCTTTTACTATGCTGTCAGGCCTATTAGGCATATAGGGCTAGACCTATGTTTTATAAACCAATCGGCACTTGGTGGGTGATGTGGTCAACATCACGCGTGTCTCCTTTACTTCCCAGGACTGCACATGGTACCCACTAAAGGCTGTGTCAACCTGGGAGCCAAGGCAATTTTGTGGAAGAAAAAAAAAAAGCCCCGTTTCGCCAGGACCTGAACCCACGACCTTCCGATCCGCAGGCTAGCGTACTTATTTCAATACTTTCCCGAAAATAAGACCGGGTCATACTATTTTAGTTTACAAAAGCGCCTCATGACACCCCCCCCCCCCCCCCCCCCGAGGATATCTTTTTTTTCTTTTCAATTATTTATACAATGATTACTTTATGATTCAACGCGTCTACTGCATATTTCAGCGGACAAACGAAATCGGCTTTCAAAAAGACAGCAGTGATTGCTGGGCAGTCAATCGACCCTGTGAAAAGACAAAATACAAATACACAACACATTGGTTGGGGTTTACTTACACTACATATTTTAAGCTAAGAAGTAAGGTAGACCTCCTCCAGCTTTTAATTCACATTAAAGGAGGCGACCTGGGATATAAGGGATAAAACCAGAGCTTTATTTCTAGGACAAGTAAAAGTGCCGGTAACTACCACAAAGGGTCATAAAAAGGTGCCCTGGTCACCACAAAGTATCTATTACAGTTAAAATTTAGTTGCGTATCCTTTACCTGACAATGCAAAACCAACCCCAGTATTTTTTAGTTTTTCTAGACAAATTTACGTCCAGTAGTTTGACTTATTACAGTAGCGCTGAAAAACCTGATACTAAAAAAAAAGGTGCCGGTTCTGCGCACCGTTGCGTATCGTCAGGAAAAAAAGCACTAGGTTAAACTAAAAATTAAGATACCAGTGGGTAAATGAAAACGCCCGTGTGTCACCGGGGCCCTTACGGAAAGCAATGAATAGTAAGTAACACTGCACCCTGCCAGATATGTCGTAAAAGGCAACTAAGAGTTGGGGTTGACTACCTCATGCAGTGAAAACAATAGTTACCAAACAACCGACCATGGAAAAGTCAGAAAATGAAAAAAGAAAAACCCTGCCATTCAAGAATTTTGGAGGCTTTTTTAGTGATACGGTGTACGAAAGTCGAAAGGAGTCTGGATCGTCGACGTACCTCCTTTCACCTATAAAAACCTTCAGTACTGGCACCTTGAATGTTGGAACTTTACATGGTGTAGGAAGAAAAATGCGAGCATTAAGGGAAATAAAAGAGTTTAGGATTTGTATTTTAGTATCATTTGAAAGTATAATCACAAGGAGGAAAAAGCTAAAGAGTGTAGTTAAAAATACGGGGAGGACATGAGGAGAGTTGCATGCGATAGCGAAGGATAGAACGACTTGGCGTGAGTTGGTTGAGGGCCTGTGCTCCACTGGGGTTAAAAAGACAGAATAAGAAGAGGGGTAAATTTAAAGCGATACATGACTGATAGAGTTACACTAGGAAGTAAGATATAAAGAGTGAATGTAACAGTGATATGGAAGAGGTTTTGGATAAAAGGGATAGTCATGTAATTTGCGATAAACTAGCATCTTCAATCATTATTTTGTTTGTTGTTTCTGTTTACTCGTCTCCCATTTTGTTGACTGATAACAATACATACCCCCCCCCCCCCCCCCCCCCCCCCAGCACTTTTTTTTTAAAGCTCTCTTATTTCAACGCACTTCCTGCCTGTCTAAGTAATTGTTTCAAATGATATATGTTTCAAGCAGCTGTCTTACTTTCATATTATAATTTACGATCACCATCACTATCATATCTTTATTGTCAGCAGCAAAACTATATCATACTCTAGGAAGAATAATACAGTGGGAGTGAAGTTAAAAACTATTTTTTTCTGACAGAGGCACTGGAACCTGGGGGCATCAGAACCTCGGGCTCATACAACTTGAGCCCCCGCCAATAATATTTGAACAAAAAAGGGTGGGGGAGGGGGTGCTGAGTCCCCTTCACCAAACACTGCACATTTTTTATGGAGGCTAAGTGACCCCCTAACAATGTATAGAGGTTTTTTTTCAAGAATTGATAAATATATATCATGTTTTTTTTTTTTTTTTTACTATGCAGCACACACCAATAATAAGAAATGTATTATTTTTGAGCGCTTAAACAAGGCATACGTTCGTTTAAACACCCCCATCTCCATCCCCAGTAGATTTATAATGGGCATGAATGCCCTTCTCCAGCGTAATTTTTGTGGCGCAGCTGCTATTCTGTGATAAGAAAAGAAACAAGACACTGCAATAACCAGACATTTGTCATTATTGCGGTTGTCTGGCCATTGCTAAGTGTCGGAAAAGTCGTCTCACGTAAATGAGACAACAATGTTGCTAAACACTATCTTTTGTCTCCCTAGTAATAGAAACGTGTCACTATTTTTCCGCTTCCGACCTGACAATATCAAACAACAATGATTTACAAATGGAGCACTTTGCGAAAGAAACACTATAATTAGCTCCAAAAACTGTCGGCGTCTATTTTTTTTGATATTACTTCCGTTTTGCAAACCGTTTTCTTCTATATTACTGGTTAACATTTAATTACGTAACAAACCGCGAGTTGATCACTGTATAATAAAACATGCGAACTTTACAGCCGTAATGTACTTTAAAATAAGGAATTCCCAAGATCGGGAACTCAAGAACTTTTAAACTGGCTTCTTCTTCTTCTTCGTACAGTTTCATACGTCGTGCTAGTTTGAACTTGTTTACATCTGAGCAGATGTTGTCCTGAAAAAGTGCACTTGTAAGACAAAATAATTAATAAGTTACAAAGTGCACTAGAAATGCACATATTAAAATATAAACGCCAGAGATTTTTTGAGGTAAAAGAGGCAGCATAACAAGCAGATTGCAATGCACTGACTGATACTTACAGGTGTAGAGAAACAAAAAAGGATACAGACAGCAGGAGAAAATGGTAAGAATTCATAGGTGTGTAAGAAATACTGAGATCTTGAAAGATCTGAAAATCATTTAAGATTGGTTAATAAACAGCATTCTGTCTCGGAAGCTGAAATATTTTGGTCATATTAAGCGCCACGACGGATAAAAAAAAAAAAAAAAAACGATAGCAGAAGGCATGGTACCAGGAAGGAGGGGCAGGGGCGACCAACACGAAGATGAGCACAGGATATAAGTGCCTACTTGAGTATGAAAGTACATGAGCGGGTAGGTTGGCAAGAGACAAAGTTTCTTTCAGGCGGACCGTGATGAGAGCGATGGTCTGCAAAGAACCTGCTACATGATGATACAATCATTATCCACACTAGATTATGCAACGCCAGACTAGTGTTGCCGTGACAGGTGCCACAGTTGTAAACTGTTCGGAGGTTGAACGAGATATCTAGGTTTGTCCGTATTGGCTTGCCACACAGACTGAGAGTTTGTAATATCAGGGTATTCAGACAATTAAGTGGCAGTCCGGATAGGAAAACATTGAAAAGAAGCAAAGAATCCAGAAAACACAGATCCACTGACAATCAAATAATCTGATGAACGCAGAAGAAGAAGAAGAAAAAAGACATAATGTGTACAGCTTCGTTATAGAGGATACATTAACACACAACACACACTAAGTCTTTGTGCCAGGTAATGCGGGTGTTCAAGGGAACTAGCGTGCAGACTATCTTTCTGACACTGCAGTTGCTAAGGCTGGTCCAGTACTGGACAGAAGTGATGTTATCAATAACATGAGCTGCACTGACCGTACCGAGGATCATGCCACAGGACATGATTCCATATCGCTGTCTAGACTGACGGACATGGGAATGCAGCTGGGAGCTGCAAGAAATGAACATTTCACTAAGGGGACAAGACGTTCTATTAAGCAACACAGAACCAGTGTCACCAGTCGTTTTACACTTATGGAACCTTTGAGGAGGATATCGAAGTACATATGGATCTATGGAGTGCTGTGATGATAATCCTTTCTAATCACTAATCACAAAGTCAAAAGTTAGTTAAAAAAAAAAGTAGAGTCAAAAAAACAAAGAGTGTATATATATAAATGTATGTGTATATGAGCCAAAGCCACGAGAACGTTCTATTTTTTTTTAAACCGCCCACAGCAGAATCCACCCCTGCAGTGTTTCCATGTAAACTAAGAACATATATATATATATATATATATATATA